AACGCACTAGATGTGTTGTTCTGAATGTTGTCACGAGCACAGATAATGTGTTCTTGAGTACTTTGTATCTGGTAGCGTTCCAATCGTGACAATGTATCTTAACATATGGGCACACATTTTCAAAAAACAAGTTAACCAATCGCTTATTTTTTTAATTTGTTTAATCACACCTAAATAATTCTCATCACTAGGGTTCAGAAATCACAATAAACGTTTAGTATATGTTAGTCACATTTTTTTTATATATAACTATTGCAAATACCTATATGTATTTATTTGAAAACGATGCCGTACAAAGATTTCATTCACTTATCTTTCATTAATAAAATAGATGCTGTCCTCTGTTTACAATGATACTAATAGCAATAATAACAGTAATTATTAACGTCATGTTAAGATGAACTTATAATTAAAAATAAGAATTTGTCATAGAAGGGAGTTAGTACAAATCTCAATGAAAGAATAGGGGAAAGAAAATTTATGATTTTTTTTGATAAAATTTGATTAAAAATAGGACATTCCCTCTGAAAACCAAGCCTAACAACAAGACCGATATATCTTATATGCGGACAAAGGTGGTTTTCTTGAGTTGTTGCTAATTCCTTTCTGCTATGTAGAAGAGACTTAATCTTTTACGTTTAAGCATCGTACATCGGACTTTATATAGAACTCGTAGGAAATCTTCAATCTCTGTGCTGTGGAGTGAAAGAGAATGAACTGCTTACAGACATAGTGATTCGTTCTCCTTATTATACTGGTACATGTTAACGATCTGCTAATGACGGAGCACTTTGGATACAACTGACATAACTAACCTCACAGGGACTTCCAAACTGATGAACAAACTCAACTAGATGCATCATTGAAATTATAGTCTTGTTTTATTAGACTAGGATTTCGTTAGTTTAAAAATGACCTGATTAACATTTTACTCGATCTATTGATCTATAGATTTATTAGATTATCAATGGCATAACCATCATTGAAACAAAGTCATAAGTAGAAAGCTCCCTTTTCAATTGTGACAATTCAGATCATGTATAAATGTTAAAAACATCAAATTTATCTACTATGAAAGTTTTTAAAACATGCATTAAATAGATACAATAAAATTCATTAATAACAAATGAATGAGAGCTGATTTTCTTTTTCAATTGTATACCCAATTAAAAGAAATGTATTGTTGGGAAAATTATCTAAAATCTAATATTTATATAAGTAGTATACAATTATTATGTGAAAAAGAGAAAGGATTCATTAGTTTACAGATTTTCTTTTATTTCAAAAAATTAGGAAATTTAACTTTTATTACTTTTAATTGATATTTATATAATCGTTTTGTTTGTGAGTTAAAACAGAAGAAGAATATGTTTATTATATTGAAAATTAACAGTAAAGAATATAATGTTTATGTATTACAAAGTAATTATCATTTTATTCTATAACAATCGAAAACTTCCTAACTAATTCCCATGTTTCTTAAAACTATTATTATTTAAACTATTCACCATAGCAACTATTTTATTTGATTCTTCTTCAGCTAATATAAAGTTTATAAAACAAAAAGTAAAATCATAGTTTTACTGACCAAACTTTTATTCATCTCTAGTAATGATGAATTATCCGAAAATACTACTGTCTATGAATATAATATTAATCATGATCAAAAGTATGATTTGCAAATTGATGAATAATTTCATGAAAATAAAAGTCTTTATTCAGGGTTTATCCACAGATCATCTTGACGTATTAGCTAATCAAAAAAATGTTTGCCCATTTAAAAGGTAAATAAATAAATAATTTTGATATCATTTATGCTTAGTAATCCATGAATTTTATTATATTTTTCATAGTTTGATGTTCTTTAGATTTCAAAGATACCTTTGAAAGTATTTCAAACCTTAGATGTAATAGTCAACCGTTGTATCATATCTTTATGCATTATAAACAATATCAATAAAATATGAATAAATTTATTTATATCGATATTGAGAATTAGAGTTTTAGTCTATTGGTAGAGATATAGAAACAGGTTTCTCTTAAACTGAAAATTGAGTGAAGATTTCTGTTCTATGAGCAATAAAAAGATATTAATTAGTTAAATGATGTAATGCATAATTTTAAATGTAGACTTTGGTTGAACCCAGTCATTATGAATTATTTGTACTTATACGAATATGTTCGTAGTTAGTTTGACAAAACGCTACGTAATATAATATGAATTGTAAGATTTTCAAGTTCCAGACTTTGATTCTATATATTTAAATTCAATTCCTACGAATTGGCTTGGTTAAACATTGTTTGAATACTTTTTTTCGAGAATTTACTATCTTTTCTAGAAAATAACAAAGTTTAAATAAAAATTCGAAATTGTTCTTTATAAGTAACTGGTAGTCACTTTTCCATCAGCTGAAACTGTTTTTATGAAAAAAAAACTAACCATTTGATCGGTGATGAAAGAGAAACATTTCAGAACCCATACTACTTAAATGATTGTTAATACGTTTTGCAAAATATTAAAAGCCTTATAAGCTCACACTTTAAACTGTGATGTTGAGAAAATAAATATTTCAAAACTATTATTGTTCCATTGAGTGTTTGGAGGGAGGGGGGAATAAAATTAGTAAACTTACTAATTGTGCTCTTATTAAATATAGTATAAGTGTAGTGGACGTCACTCACATGGATGTTAATAAGTAGTGTGTAACGGAATGTGTCGTCGAGGTTGCAATGATTATCAGATGGAATGAAGTGTTTCAGTGCATCGAAAGCACAGTGTTGGCAGAACACTTAGAGACTATACCAGAAAACAGTTCAGGTCGCAAAACATACCGAAAGCTTCAAATGGACGACCGAAGGCTCTGTATATGTAATATGTGAATACCCGGCAACATTCCTCGTGTTTTACACAAGTGCCATTCATATATATATATATATATATATATATATATATATATATATATATATATATATATATATATAGTTACGTAAGAGTTGTACAATAAGAATATATATATATATACCCTCAACTCTTCAAAAAATCAAATCAAATAACAAAAAGACAGGCAGTTTTGTTTTTATTTACTTTTAAGTTAAAATTAATCACGAAGTCCTAATAAAGTATCTAAACAAACCATTGTTATCAAACCTAAATTATTTTGAACATAAAAGATAAATTTCATATCATTGAATAAGAAAAAGAGAATTCAGTGAAGAAAGTCTTCTTTTCGACGAAATCGTTTACTTAAGCTGTGCATTCGTATATATAGTATATATAGAGAAGAGACAAACAACAAAGGTCATAATAATAAACTGAATGATAATAAAGAAAACTCGCTTTTCTTCATATCTGCCAAATGGACAATTATCTGACCCATAAATTCTGTTCTTCCTTACCCCTTGATTAGTACGTTAACCTCATTTGTTATTTATTCTCGAATCCAATTTTTTTGTGATACAATCCTTTCTATCCTTCTATAGACATATATTTTCCATATAACTATATATACGAATGCACAGCTTAAGTAAACGATTTCGTCGAAAAGAAGACTCTCTTCACTGAATTCTCTTTTTCTTATTCAATGACACTATGGGTTATTTTAATAATCTCACATCAATCATTTGTTCACGATATTATTATCGGTAGTAAGTAGACGTTTTAGAGAAACTGTGTGTATATTAAAATTCTTTTTTTTGTTTCACGACGAAATAACTTTCTCATCTTCATTAAAAAATAACATGACCAATCAATATGATCAAATGAAGATGTGAACATGGTGTATGCAATCAGAAGAAATGTGTATGCGATAACTGTTGGGTAGGCAAATTTTGCGAAGTATCAGGTTAGTGAAATCGTTCAAGTTACATGCAAAACAACTTTCGTTTACTAAGAACAGATTTCGCACTAATCAAAATATTTTCATCGTTATCTCATTTCCTAGAAATCATAATCATCCCATTGTAATTATAAATGATTATAATGTGATCGCGTAAAGTTTTTTGATCACTGATCCAAAATTGTGGACGAGAAAGCAACTGTGAGTGGTTTCAAGTATTGGTGTTTTATGAAGTATGTAACACGACTCAAAGTAACATACAAGACATAAGGAAACTTCTGTTATTGATTGGAGCAAAAGATGTATATGGAATTTTTATTTTTAATTTTGTGAGGAAATATAAACCATGAATAAACATGATGGTGTAATGCAAAGATGAAAATACTAGATTATATTGCGTACATTATAATAATCAATGTTGTGTAACTACAACAGTATATGTACAAATAAAAAGCATGTAAAATTAATAGACTAATATTAAGTTTTTGGAATTTACAACGTGTTAATAATCTTGAACAGTATGAAGTTAGTCCATATGTTAACCGTTTGAAGATAAAATAGAAATATTTACGAAATGTTCAGTTCAAAATAAAAGCAATATGTATTTCCTCAAGACCTATGACCTTTTATTTATATCAAATTCAAATTATATAACTATAAAATCACTAGTTAGATGGATGTCGAAAGACCTTATTTCATGCTCATTAAAAGCAATAAATTCCTGTTGAATTCTGAATTATATCGACCTCCCGAAACCCTAGTATTTAATAAACTTATGAAATGGTAAACTAAGATCATTTGTCGAGATAATTAATAGCTTAGAAGTGATTTGGTTTTCATGATTCACTTCTTGAAATATATTGAAGTTACGAAGAATAATCATCTAAGTTATAAGATGAAACGTCTCAGTTACGTTCCTCAAAGCTTGTCTTAATTAGTTGCTAACATAACAAGTAAATCATTCTTCATTTTATAAACAGAAATAAATGAAAATATTTAAAAGTATAACCAGTAACATAGATATCAATAAACACTACGGGAAACTAGTCACAAGAAAATAATACCACAAACTGTTCATTCCAATAATATCTAAAGTTGTTTGGCTTGAACTGACTGTGTTCGAAATACTTAATATTTATTTTAAACTTGCGGCGTGTATTTAAGTTGGCGCTACAGTTAACCATTCAACTTCTGATATATCAAGACATCACATTATACTTGGTGATTGCTTCTATCCAGTTTTAGATAATATTCGTTTTACCTCAGATAGTTTTAAAATTACTGTGTCACCAAGTTCTGTCGGCATTCCAAACAAAATTATTGGACAACTTACATTTCGAGATGTACGAAGTGATCAAATAGAGGAATGTGGGCAATTATTTTTTTTACTTGGAGGAGTCCAACATAATAACTATCCAATTTATGTAGAAAACGGTACGGGTTTCATTCGCTTTAGTCGTTTTAACAATTTTAATTGGCCAAAGCTGATACATCACAAAATTTACATGACTGTAAAATTATATGTCAGACCAAATAAGGAAATAGATTCATCGCAAATTGTCATCTCCTGGAATTATTTTACGAAAGATCAACAAGGGAAACAGTCGAAGTCCCAAAACGATGATTCCCATCTGGAGAGGCTTAGAAGGGTGCGTACCGTTTTTGAGTAAAATTAGCCAATTTTTTTATTTTAACAGAGTTACCTTTGAAACACATTTTTGATGTCCAGTTAAACGGAAACAACTTTGTGAATAAACTAATCTATCTTGTGGTGGATTTTAGTACCGTATTAAGATTTAATTAATAATCAGCAAAATATGGGTAAAGCGTTTGAAAATGTAAAAGCCAACCCTTGCCTTAGTTCGTCCAAAATCTCACATGAATGCGAAATCCTGTATATTAAACAGTTAAACATTACTATAAACTAAAAGGTGTAGAAATTTTTCATGTAGTGGTTTTCCACAACTGAGATTAAAAACTTAGTGTAAAAGCATGAACGGAGATTTTTAGCTGTTCTCGTATACTAATTTCATAGTCGATCAAATTAATTTAGTGCTTAACATGGAGTCACTAATACGTTTGATTTGATTATCTAATCTATGGTTTGTTAAATCGTTTAGCAGTTAGATGTAAAAATATAAACCATCTGCTAATAATCACCTTCACATACCTTAGCAAACTGTATGAAATGAAGTATACTGCATTTGTCAATATTCTTCTGACTTTAGAATTATCTGTGTACAAACAACTGACTTCTTAACGTGATTGGATAGCTGAGTTGGGATGTTTATTTTCATTCCGAAAGTGTGGAAATCATTGAAATGACTTCCATGGAGGCGATTCAATACAAAACGTCTGTTGGTTTGTAAGATCCAACAAAGTAAAATATATCTAGATTACTGTCTAAAATAAGGTTAAACACTAGAAGAAAGATACTGTAAGCCAATTACTTACATATATAATTTACAAATAATTCTATAAAACCATATATCCCTAAGACATTTAAATTTATAGAACTGAATTGTATAACGATTTTTGGGTTTACTTGCCCTCAGAAAGTTACTTCAGTAAAAATTACTATTATTAACATAACAGTACTTGAAGTAAATAACACTTAAATGATATCGAAATCTAGAACCAACAACTTCCTCATATAAGAATTATTTCCCAATCCAGGATAACAGCATTTTTGAATATATTATTAGATATCTGTGCATTACTTCTCGAAATCGATAGATAACCATAGAGCAAAATATAAAATAAATAGTTGAACTTTACTGGAGTCACACAAGAAAAAAGTATTATGAATTATGGTAATTGATTATAATTTTCGGGATGAAATCCAATATTGGATTGGGCTCCCAAAGTAAACGATAACCACAGTCTTTTTAACAGTAACATTAATACGACAACAATATAAATAAGATGTAATGAAACGCGAATGAAATGAAATTTCAATTCAGCCGTTTACTAGCCAAAGTGGAGATTCGTCTGGAATTCAAGTTATTTCAGCAGTCCTAATTCCAGATTCATAATATTCTGTAGAATTCTTCCATATAAAACCTTTATTGTAAATGTGATGCTATATTTAATTATAATATCGTGATTATTTTTCACATACATTCTAATATCAGAATTCCATCAAAACAATATTTGATGAATAATTTTAGAGTGTGAACCCTTCAAACCTACAACTTCTCGTGACGAGAAGTGATGCAGCTACCAATACATTGTGTCCGACTGAAGTAATAGCACTAAGTGTTCAGCTTGGTCTACCTGTTGGTACAACTGCAATAACAGTTGAATTGTTTGGTCCTACTAAAGATACTATAATCTACGGTTTTGTTGAATTTATTGATATTTCATATATTGGAGGAAGAGTTTCAGACAGGGATTTTTCAATTGGCGTACGAAACACGACGATAGAAACTGATTACGAATACAAAGTAAACTATATATTTTGGTATTAGTTATGTGTGCATGTATTATTAAGAAGTAAGACATTAGGTTTATTTGTTAATCTATGTCATAATGTGGATAATGTTCAGTAAAAAATACATGTGGTCTGATGAACTTCCCTATAATGAATTTCACATTAATCTTTGCTAGTAGTTTGTTTATATGAAAGGATTAAATCATATTTCATTTCTGTAATTCTAACGACAGACAATCCGATTATTAAGTGGAATCTATTATAAAAAATAAATTGAATAATTTGATCGTAAATGATGAATAACAATTTTTATGAACTGGATATCTTAAGGATATAGATGTTATACATCCTTTGGTAGGACCTTACATAATTCAAAAATAATATCATCTTACATTTCTCATCAAAAGAAAAACAAAACAAGCCTATCTTATCAAATTCAGAACTAATAAAAGATATATAGAAAGATACTCAAGATTATGTTAATAGCATTTCTAACATATATTATGAGAAATATAGACCAATAGTACAATAATATATATTTTTAAATAATTTATTAGGTAATGACTTTCAAAAAAGCATCGAATGGCCATTTTGTCCTAATATGGGACTCAGCAGAGCACATTCACAATCCTGCTTGCGTGATTCCAAACTAGGATCTACGGTCTCGCGCGCGAGCGATTAACCTCAATACCACTGAGCAGGAGTCCAACGGTGTTAATGTTTAGCTTCAAATAGTTTTGATATTGATATGCAAAGAGTTGAGGTTTGTCCATAATTTAACAACCTCAACTAATAAGTATTGATAAAATAATCTCTAAAATTGTTCAGTAGGAAAAACATCTGCTGCTTATAGTACTTAAAACTAACAACACAAGCACATGTAATCATTCATATAGCTATCACATTGAATTAACGAAAGGATTTACTTTTTGACTTCTTTACTTCAGAATAAAGAATACTAACCTTTATAAGAATAGATTCGAATGTTTCTTACTTCATAGTTAAGACATGAATCACATTTCTGGCTAAATAGAGTTACAAGCATCATCCATAATGTTGTGCGTGTTTTTAATTCATTAACACTATCTATTACATTTCATCCAGAATTTAATTTTGTTTTCAGAATACATATACAGCTGTTGATTTATCAAATGTCACAGTGATAGATATACCAAATGTTGTAGAGAATTATAGTTTAACATTGCGTTTTGGTGTTGGTTTGTGGAGTAATAATTCAATAGTAGATGGAATGCAGTTTATTTGTAACTGTAAAGTTTCTGACGGTATTTCAGTGGTAACCAGTACAACTACAATCACATCACGTAAATTATGTACAGTTTTTCAACCAGAATTAGACATGTTATCTAATTTTCCATACATTGTACCGGGAGATATATTACTGTTTCAAGCAGAAGCATATTTTACATTTGAAACCGGAAATTATACGGTAAATTCTGTTTTAAATTCCGTCTTTATTTGGTTAAGAAATCCTTATATTTAATCGTAAAGATGATATTTGAATACTTTAAAAAGTAGACGCTTAGGGTGGGAACATTGCTTCTTGTTAGTTATTCTACAGTGTGACGTAAATTCTAGTTTATAAAATATTTGTCTTTCATATTCTTAGCTTTTCAAAACCATATCTCGAATCATGGAGAAACCAGTTGTAAATAGACTGTCTTGAATTTGCTTTTTGTAGTAGAAATATATTTTTCGTGAAATAAATTTTTTTATCAGAAGGGGTTTGTGGAGATTTTTAGAAATTTTCACAGATTGAAATCATGAGTCAGTTGAAGCTAGACCACCATTGAAAACCTGGGAGCTCAGTGGTCTAATGGTTAAGTGCTCGCGCGCGAAGCCACTAGGTCCTGGGTTCGAGCCCCGCGTGGTGCGGGATCGTGGATGCGCACTGTTGTGGAGTCCCATACTAAGACGAAACGGCCGTACAATGACTTTAGGCTTTCACTGGTGGTCTAACATTGATTAGTTGATAATCTCAATAAGAAAACCCTTGAATATTCATATGTACGGCTTAAAAGTTGTTTTTTGATCACATTGTGTTATGCATTAATTTGTGATTTAATATTTTAAATGTCATCATTACTGTATTTCTAGGAATAGGCAACAATATTAGATGTATAGGTAGTGTGAAAGACCAGAATTGTTCAGTTTCCCTTTTTTATAACTCGTTATTTGATTGACCAAACAGTTAGAACATTAGGAGTGTCATATAAATACAGTCTGAACAAATAATGTGTGATATAATATAAAACACCAAAAATCATTTCCCCAAGAAAATTACAGATTCAGCGTTAAGTTTACTAATGCATTGTTATATATTTAGTAACGACCGATAATTAGCTAATGAGTAAGTGAAATAATGGTTATTAACTTGATTTCAATTCGTTTGTGCAAAATTAATGGTCATAAGATAAAAGTAATAAAAATTCAGGATATGTTGAAGTAAAAGCAAATTAATGACTCGTAATGTATTCTCATTTCTGTCAAATAAAGAACTAGAGGATTAGAAATAAAACCGGAAAATTTACATTCATGAACATATATATGCTATCTGTTAGGAAATCGTCTATCAATATAGATGACGTATAATTATGCATTTCTGGGATTTATTCTATAGAGTGATCTGGCTTATTTAATACATCGTGACTAATAACTGGTCCCTCTAAATTATCATCTATCCATATCTGCAGTTTGATGGTATGTCAATTAAAACTGCTGGTTGTCGTGTTGTATAAATCATATATTGTTCAAAAGATTTGTTAACTAACATAACTTACTTATAACACACGTCAATATCTCTTTGAAATGTTTAACAACAAAGTCTTACATATAAGGTAACAGTTTTTCGGTCAGTTTTGGAAACATACCTTATTAACATGTCTCAACCGACACAAATCTAATTTCAGGATTTAATGTGGATGAACTATACGAAAACAGTTCTTGTTCAGCACAACTTTGATAAGAGTAGATGAATTCTAATAAATACAGAAGTTACAGAACATTTAAGATTAGAAAATGCTCTTATTTATTTATAAGCAGTGAGAAAAATGTGTATGGTGTTTCAGAGTCATAGCCAGTAGAATATTAAATATTATAAATAACAGTCATAAATGATAGTTAAATGATAGTTATCACTATGAGTAAAACAAGAAAAGGAAAGAAACGTATTCTATATAAGACGGTATATTAATGAAGTAATAGATCAAAGAAACATTACTTTCAGCAATGAGGTTACCAAAAATATTACGGGTTCATGATTGACAGTGTAAAGTGTTGCTTATTTGCAAACGAAACAATATTGATTTTGTAACCTATATGTAATAAAAGCACCATTTATAAAGATATCAGATAGTGACGTAAATAACATAAACATCAAGAAATATTTAGTATTTCTATGTTGTCATGCATTTCCTAGAAAATATTCTTATCTAGAAAATAATTAATACACTGTATTGAAACCGAAAGTGAGGACACGTTCTAAGTACTTCAGTAATAAGAAAGACAATCCGAATTCTCACAGAACCTTGTCATATATCTGTTAATAAAAATTGAGTTGACTACTCACTTTCAATATTTACAGAAAAACATGTTCTCGAATAGTTTATAGATACATTCTCTTTAAATTAATATCAGAATTTAGTAATCTAAAACGGTGACAGTATTAACAGAGAATAAAAAGTTACATTCGGTTTCATTCACTAATATTTCATCTATTTTACAGTTCACAGTATATATAATCGGTTCCTCATCTACTATTAGCAACTTTGAAGTAATTCTAGGTAATGGGATGAACTATCCAGAAGGATCTGAAGTTAGGCAATCCGAAGATGAGCTGACACTTACAAAGCAAATTGATGTACAAATGAAAGGACTTAAAAATAAAAGTAATATGTTTTAAAAGTTTAATAGATTGAAATTTAAAATGAGTTATATGATATTTATAATTTTCTTTACCATCAAAAAGTGGCAATTTTTCCTTGTATTATTCAATATTTATTACATACGAGTTTATTTACATGAAATTCCAGATAATGATCTATCATAAATAATAAATCATAGTACATTACAAAACTAAGGTATTTACGCTATAAATAGGTTTATAATTAATTAGTAGTAATCTGTAAATTGAAAAAGATATGGCAGCATCAATGAGTTAAATGAAAGCTTGCAATTAGAAAAATATCAACTGTTTAGCCACAACATTATATAAATATGTATATGCTAAATCACTGGTGAATAACTTCCAGAATTCATTATATCTATAATGTATTAGTTCATTTAATTCAAAACACAAATCATAGTAAAGGGTAGTTAGTTATTTTAAAATCAATAATGTTTTTAGATTGTGAACTTTCTAATGTGAATTTCGAAAATCATATTCTAATGTTCATGATACAATGAAGTTTTATATTGAAACCTACTTGGTTATCCTTAATAAAATGACAAAAGTCATATTCACCATCGAAGATGACTGGAAAACATTTTATACATATTTAAAAAAATTATATTTATATTTTATTAAGAGACATTCAAATATGATTCGAAAGTCACATGATTCTGCTAGCGTACTACTTAACCTAGTGATTAATTTATCAGATAACTAATAATTTCCTCTGAATATTTTAGTAAACATAACCAAAACGTTAGGAACATAAAAAAATTAATTCTAACAGGAGCTCAGAAATACTCTATTTGTATTGATAATAACACTTACTAGATTAATTTCCTGTGGGTATTATTAGCTTTAAGTAACTGAGTGAAAAAAAGTGGATAATCCGATATCTTATATTAACTTACGTTATTTGATACAAACATTCTAAATAATAAAACATTTGTGGTGTTTTTCTCAAAAACTTATTAATTTAAGTTGATAAAATCCCCTAACATTATACAAATAGCCATAAAATTTATAAAATTTTCAATTAGAAGATTTCATTTTCTAGATAGTTCAGAGTAATTAAACTTATTAGTACGAAATATATGATTGATATATGTTATAGGAAACTACTTACGGTTGTCTAGTAAATAAAAAAATGAAATGTTTCAAAGGTTTTGACATTTCCTTCTGAGTTTTTAGACTAGGTAGTTAACTCTCGTGAATCTAAAGTAGAGTGGCTTGGATATAAGGCACGTTATCACATTTAATTATTTATACAAATGTTGTTGATTATTGTTAATAAATAAGTAGCTTAGGTAAAGAATTGCACGTCAACCGTTAATAAACAGGTAAATATTCGAAAATAAATAAAGTACAATCAAAAATTAATGAATAGGTTTTAATATTTCTAAACGTCCTAACAATTTTTGTGAATATGAAAATCACTTCAGATGATTTCTGATTGATTGAGTTTATTTTCACGATACATCAACTTTATTGACAATGAGAAATCGTTTGACAGTGTGTACAGGAAGAACTTATGGAAATTTCTCCGACACTATGGTGTACCTGAGAAGATCGCCAATATCATACGGAATTATTACGACGGACTACAGTGCAAAGTGGTGCATGGAGGACAGCTGATAGATGCATTCCAAGTAAAGACCGGAGTCAGACAAGGCTGTTTACTCTCCCCCTTCCTCTTTCTTCTGGCGGTTAACTAGTTTATTAAGACCTCGACATCTGAGGGGAGGCACAGAATAAAATGGACAGCTCAGAATCAATTAGATGATCTGGACTTCACATATGACCTAGCTCTTCTATCCCACACATAAACAAATGCGTATGAAGACGACTAGTGTAACAACAACCTCTGAATCAGTAGGACTCAACATACACAAAGGAAAGGGTAAGATCCTCAAATGCAACACGGAGAACACCAACCCGATCACTCTTGATGGACAGCAAGGACAGCATTCTTACAGTTGAAGAACATATGTAACTCAACTGTCAAACAACATCAAATCGAGAGTCTTCAATACGAACACAAAGACAGTGCTATTCTACAGAGCTAAAACGTGGAGAACTACCACAATCATCATCAAGAAGATACAAGTATTTATAAAAAACTGTATACGCAAGATCCTTTGCCGGATACCATCAGCAGTAGCCTTCTGTGGGAGAGGACAAACTAGGTTCCCACTGAAGAGGCGAAGTGTGGTGTGTGCCACTTATATTGACATAAGTAGCATATGATGTAAGTCAGAAACAGAATGTTTAGTAGCAGAAAGACAAGAGAATCGGACAGTAAAGAATGGAAACAGAATGCAATTTGTATGAAAATAAAAGAACAATGAAGTCTGGGCCATTTTGGGACAATTGATGGTCATTTTGCAAATTGAGCATTTACTATGTGGTTGTTAGATTTTATTAACAAGTTCTGTAATCTTGTGTCAAATATATCCGGTTGTCCCCAATGGTGTTCTTGTTCACCACAGTAGGAAATGGATTGAACATGCATTGTGGAAGTCATCAAACTGCATCATGAGAGAAGTAATAACTTGGAATCCTGAATGGAAATGGAAAAGAGGAAGGTCGGAGAACGCACTACGTCGGGAATCGGAAACAGACGTGAAAAGGGTGAATAGCAACTGGAAAGTATTGTCCAGGATAAAGAGCAATGGAGAGTGCTGGTGGGTGGCCTATGCTCCTCCACGAGAAGTAACAAGCGTAATTAAGCATGTAGGCATATTATGATCTATATTATATCGTTTATAACTAGCTCAATAGGTGAAGAAGCATTTTAAAGGAAATAATCACTGAGAATCAAAAAGAAGGTAAATTTTCTCTACAAATGTTTTCAAATACTTAATTTTCAAATTTAAAATTATTTTTAAACATAAATGTACTCAATTGTATTACGGAAACATTACAGTTTATAAAAATCTGTTTTTTTTTTCATTTTAGATGCTAGAGCGACATATCTGACTAAATCAAACCGCTCAGTGAAATTAAATGCATATATACAAGCTGTAACATACCCATCAACGAGAGCAATAATTGGATTTCGATTCCGTTATTCTCAAGCTGATGTAATTATTCGTGAGCTTCAAGTACCTATTATAGCTAATTATAGAAACTTTATAAATGTAAGCGTGTTATTACTGTACTTAATTAATTGGTAGATATGTACAGTTATTGAAATGGTGGAGAGAATTTGTAGCTCAGATGGATGATTTTGATGGAGTTATTCTCTAAGCGATTCTGTGAGATATCAAGTAATATGTTGAACATTAGATACATGATGAATATAAGCAGAGAAATCAAGTTCATTCTTTAAATTATCTGTATCTTGTTATACTAGTTTCAGTTAAAAGCTGGATAATCAACAGAATTAGGAATGAAAAGCGACCAAAGTAGAAAATGGAAATATAAATTATCGGGATTTTACAGTATTTATATTAATTTAACGAATGTAGTAATCTGCTAGAAACATGACACATCAAAAGGAAGCTGTGTAGTGATCTTTAGGATTTATGTCTAAGAGGACCAGTTTATATAGACATTTATCTTGGTGTTACGAATTTCGGCCAAAACATTTTTTTCATCATAGAGTAAACATTTTTTAGCCTAAATGCTTAGAAAATCATTTAAAAACAAAGCAGACAATATTGAATACAGTGTTAACGGAAAATACAGTCAATAACTTCAACACTGATTTCATGCATATCCTATCAACTGCCACAGTTTACAATTCTTACACTGAAAAGGAATAACATTTCCTGTTCTGATACCTATGTAAAAGTGAATTATGATGTGCAAAATGGTGAAATTATGATATTTAAACTTTTCTTAGTACTCATTCAACGACTGGCATACAGTGAGGAGCATTATGTTTAGATATAAAATTTACAGGACCCAACGATGTCAAGCTAACTCATTTCTGGAGTAACACTAGTCCGTTAGCTTAATATTGCAAAAATAATGATTATCAGAATTTTTCGCTAATGTATTCGTATGCGTACATTTTGTTTACTAAAAACCAATTAGTCGTTAGTAAATCATTTATTGGTACAATTTGATTAGTTCAGTTCAGTGGATTTCAATCACTTTTTATTGGATTTTAAATCATAGTGATTTTCATCTCTTAAGACCACATATATAGAAAAATGCCATTAAAGTTTGTCATAGGTAATTAGGTATATTAGTTATAAGGCATATTGGCTTAACTAAAAAGCTTTTCCTTACCTGTGGACGTTTTCAGAGTACAACAAATTGTAAAACACATTCAAAACCTTTAGTCACATCTACAATTTATGGAAAATGCTTTGAGTAACATGTTTTTTCAGTAATGTTCCGTTCAATGTAAACACAATATAATAACCGATATGGATTCAGATACACTTCTGTGGGTACTCCTACTATAGCATTTTAGTCATTTTAATTACAATGATGTTTCGGTTGTTTGCTCCCTATTTTGAGAACCATCGATATCTTGGTATCATTAAGGAACTTTCACGACGAATAAGAACAACACAAACAAGTAGTGCCATTAAATTTACTTCGAGCGTCGTGATTTGGTACATAACTGTATTTTTATCCCATCCCAACAAACACCCTTTCAAGAGACGTTTTGGGAAATTGGTTGGATTGAAGTCGGTACTTAAAATATATCGCAAATTATTTTCTTTATTCGATTGATATTCATATGACGGTCCTAGAGAAACTAGATGACTTCTCAGTTCATTATAATTCTTTGAATAATATGAATTCAAACAGATAAATTTACGTGATAGATTTGACTCAGAAAATATTTGTTTGCCTCATGAATAAGAAATGCTGCGGATGCACTTGCTTGCGAATCGAAGTGTCTTCAAAGTCCATTACGCTTAATACAACGAAACCAGGAGATGTTATGGGCCTGTTTCCTAATACACGAATTATTCTCATATGCCAAAGAACCACATTCATAACTGTGATAATATTTCCCATAATATGTAGTCCTGTATACATATACCGCTTTGAAAAAGATAAATACTGTTCACATATTTCCGAATCTTTGAAGTAAATAACCCTAAAAACTCATTAACTTATCTCCTTCTATGAAGATAATACCCTGTTATCCTTCGTGTTTTCCAACGAATAAGCTTTACATGTAGTTATTGATTCTGATGTAAATGAAAATCACTTATCGTGGAATGAAATTAGGTTATTCTGTCGAATTCCTCATGTTCGTTCTTTATTTCAACAAGCTAGAGAAATTTTATGGGAAACAGTGTACTTAGGAATTAGGTTTCAGAAATCGTGATCATGTTCGAACTAAAATTTAAATCCATGATTACATAATAACCACAGTTCAAGGTTAAGAATAATACAAATCTTCCACAAATTACTGACTTTTTATACCTATCCTAAAATAATAATGACCAACCATATCATTCTTAAACTTATTGACTCTGTCAGAATGGATAAAAGGAAAAATATAAAAGTTTTCAATAATGATAGGGTAAGTGTAAATATTGAAACTATTATTATTCAAGTTAGTGTATGATAAATTCAAATAAATTTTTCTACTACCTGAAAAACTAACTACACTTCGGCTAATGAGAACAGTGACATGAGCGACAGAATCTTTCTAAAACCACACATAAATCTGCAAATAAGTGTTTACAAATTCTAATTTAATTAAAGGCATTCATTTACTCATAAAGTCAATTTTAACTGAATTTATCGTTGTAATTAATGTAACCACTCACAAGCCCATTGCTAAAGTATTATCCCACAGTAAATTTCATTGTGTGGTAAAAAGCGTACCAAAAGTGTGTGCTCTATATAAAAATCAGGTTTATGACAGTGTTATAACCAGTTACTTCAATAAAATTATTAAAAAATGAATCTTAATCCAATAATTCTACTCTTTGATTCATTATTATGTCCCTAGGTTTCAAATCCTACTTTCAACTTTTCAGGGATTTCAAGTCCAGCTAAAGTTGAAACATTCGCTGAAGTTTATTTCAGTCTTAGACTTCCTCCTTCATCAAAACAGATTTATGCTGTAGAAATAGGCTTTGATAACGTTTCTTTGGGTGAATTCTGTTATTCTACCATCACAGAAGTTGGAAAAGGGATTACAAACAGAATAACAGGGGTAAGTTACTAACATTAAAATATTTTACAGAGTAAACTATTTATAGGAGAAATATTCTGTAATCCAAGTCTAGATTTCGATTAAGTGATATTATTTGGTCACTAGTCTAAAATACAGCGACGAAAATATACTTGGTGATGAGACAATGACAGTTAGTAGATTTATGGTCTTAGATGACGATTGAACTGAAATATTTCGCGAATTCAGAATAACACCAGTTTTAATGTTTAAATTTGGAACATAACCTTAAGAATAATTTACAACTTTTCAGTATGATTTCTATAACAATCATAAGTAAAAATATTAGTGATTCATGTTATCTGAGAAATCAGGAAACGATTGACATCTTAATTACCAGTGTGGACAAGAGAAAATGAGATAAATTTATTAACAAACTTAGTGACCGGTACCGACCTTTTGAATATTTTAAACAGAGCAAGAACGAAGATTGGCGCAGAATAATATGAATTCGTTTTATTTTGTTAGGTTCTCATCAGCTGCTTACAACCTAAAATATTTGAAATTCAACATTGTTACAGATATCGACATATTTATACATAAGAAGGTGATTGAGGATGAATAAATGTATCATGGTGTAGCCAAGATTCCGATGGAGTTAATGAGGTCATAAAATTTTGTCTCGAATAAATAGAGTTTAAGAGGGAATGTTCCGGAACATTGAAATAGTGATTAGAACTTATGAAAATAGATTAATGGTAATGAAGAAAATGTGAATTGAAACCAGTCAGTTATGTATGATGTAATTTAATTTTGGATATTCTTAGTTTAATCGTAAATGTTCATTTTCTTATTTATCAGGATGTTTGGTATTTATGGTGACTAGTAAATGAAATAAATTTCATTTCCATAATCTTTGTTTAGGATACAAAAGTTCTTCTCAACTTTCACTATGCACTGGGTTATATGTTGTTTAAATGTTTATATCCACGTTAATGATTTTTTTTTTAATCTGATAGATGAGATTGTATACGGAATATATGACTCAAAAGCTAACAATGCTTCGAAGAATGGCGGTAATAAATCTTGGAGTATTGGAAAATCCATCAGCAAATAATACAGAGTATTATGTGAATTTCAAAATAATTGTAAGACCATGCATAGATAGAGCTTTTCCAACAATCAGTGAAACTCAAATTAATGCACGAGTTTTTATTACGGGTACACCTCAACAACAACAACAATCAGTTGCATTTTCTGTTGTCGATGAGCCAATTTTACCGATTACAGTAAGATTTTAAAATTAACTTAAGCTGTGGATTAATTTTCAATCTCTATATTCAAAAAATTTGATTTCATAAATAAATTACATAACAGACGTTGCATTACAAGTTTCTTCTGGACAGAACTTTTTAAAGCATATTTACTTAGAAAAATGAAAAACAATGTAGTTTGTCGGGAATGAGTATGTACATCAAAGTGTTTGGTAAACATCATATCTGATCTGTCCACTTGAAACTATTCTAATTTCAGGAAGTGAAATTAACATTCTTATTAGTATTCTATGAAAAACCTAATGTATAGATCTGCCATAGTTATTGTAAGTAATCGCTTCAGAAATAAAAGCCCATTATCTTATTATATACCATTTTAAGTGATTTTCCGTCATATTAACGGATTCAAAATTATTTCTTTTATTATTTTTTAAATGTATGCTTAGTAAAACATCATCGACAGTAATTATATTTCGGTTTGAAGTATTAAAATCAGTGGAATGAATGTTCACGCTGTATTTATATTACATAAGTACTAAAAAATGCACATAATTTGTGAAGAATTAAGAGTATTTATAATATGAGCTTCAAATCCACTTTATGTGTGGGATTAAACTCAAAGCTATTATAAGTGGGGTTTGTTAAGTTTTTTCATTTAGATCATGAATCGATCAATGTTAGACTACCAATGAAAACCTGGAAGCACTGGAAAGCTAATCCATGTCGGGTGTGAGGCAGTTACCCACCGGAGACAATCAAAATGGCCGCAAAATTTCGTTTATTGGTTGAAGTTAGATATTAACACCGTTGGACGCCGGCTCAATGGTCTAGAGGATAAGTATTCGTGCGTAAAATCGAAGGTCCTGGGTTCGGATCCTGTGTGCATGATCACGGATACGAACTGCTGAGTCCCATACAGTGACGAAATGGTTGTCCAGCGCTTTCAGGTTTTCAGTGGTGGTCTAAAATTGGTCAATCCACGATCTCAACCAAAGCCATTACTGCTGAACTAATTTTGAAAAGTCGTCAGTCTGATTCATTGCTGATGTGGTTGCAGTGTCTTTGAAGTTTCCACTATGAGAACTTTGACTGTATTTTGAGAACATAAACATATCTTCAACTTTACGTTCTTGGTAAAAAAATACTGTTAAGGCCAAAATATTGTGCAGCTTATTTTACGTGTGTAGACAGGAGAACTTCACAAAATGCGACATTTTTCATTTCCAATTTGTCTTTTTCTAAAGTACCACAAGATGGTTAGATTTTTTCCAGTATATTTTTGTTACGTCCCACAGTCAAGCCATACGCGTAGACGACGGTAAGCAACCAATGCACATCAAGGACTTGAGAGAATGATACTTTATGCCTGACGGTTAGCCCAATACTAACTAGCTCCAGACGAAAAGGAAGAACACAAGACCAATCTTCGCCAGTCCAAAATCATTATTATATTTCGGACGTGTATTTATTTGTATGCTATGCCAAACCACACAACAGACCAATTCGGGTGACTGTATTAACACGGAGCAACAGCATTAATGATGAGAAAATGGAATACTTGGTGCAAAAATAATTGGTTTTAGTTTATGAATGGAAGATGCTATAGCAACAAATTATACTTCAAATGAAAGCTTAGAACTTGAATAACAAGAAAATAATAAAATCAAAATACAATCAATATATAAATAAAACCGTCTATAAATAGTTTTAAAAGTTTTTGCCTCATAGTTAAATCATCTTTAGCAAGTACTTTAAAGGTTTCAAGCATGGCTTTAGAGAGAGTACGCCTAAAGGATGGTAAAGCTCATAGTCTTGAAAATATTAGTGTTTAAGTATAGTGAGAAAAATAATTGGGATAAAAAGTCAAAAACCCATTTATTTCCGTATCTTCAGATACATTATTTATTCTGACAAAATATATTGGTTAAAAAGAAATCAACAGAATCCGTAGAAATAAAATAACCAAAATGACAGAAAATATAGCTAATGGTTTACTAGAGAATAATTGTTTTAATTTTCCTGAAACATGACAAGTTTGTATCTCCCTACTTTGTCTTCTGCTTTCCCTCTATTCATTCGTGACAAACCTGGCCCAATATATAAAATCAGTTGAGTAATCAGATTTAATATACATAGAATCACTGGGATTGAACCCATATATTTAAAGGACCCAGAGGTATGATGTCTTAGTTAACTAGTAATCATTTTGTAATAATAAATTAAACATGATTTGATATAACTATTATCTATAAAATCATAAGTTGCTCAAAATGAAATGAAACATTGTGCGAATTCTACTACCATTTATCGATATTAACTAAATCTTGGTACGTTGAATCCAAGTGGGAAAAAAGGAAAGTTCACAGAAAGTGAGTTTTCGGTCGTAAACGAAGGAACCTAAGATATAGAAAATTTATGTACTTTTACAGGTTTCTTATTACATAAGCGTCAGATCAGATATTGAGTCCATATTACCAAATTTAACCTACCAATAGTTAATATAACTCACTATTCATGAGAAATAAGCTTTTCAGTAGTTTTCAGGTAAGAAAATATCGTAATTAGGAAGAATCAAATGGGATTTAGATATTTGATTCAAATCTTCACAAACATCTAGGGCATATTCCTTTCTTTCTTTTTGTTTCCATGATTAATTTCAACCTTCAGTGAAAGCAATTGAAATGAATAAGTATCTACGAAACACCTAATTAGTCACTATTCACGGCTCCATAAGTAACCAGCCTCAGGATGGAAATCTAGATTTTTCAGTGAGGCACTTAATTTTCTGGGTAACTAGGTTAGAGAAAATCATATTTTCACAACCCACACATATCAGGATAAATGAAAAAGTTTCTAAGGTGCTATTTGAAAGCATTTCGAGTTTAAAGATCATTTTATTGAAGGGAAATCTCTTCAATCTGTTGACTATTAATTTACTATAAGTTTAATTATGCATACCACTCCCAACTACGAACTTTTTTGCTGAACATTTAAATTATCATCTCATTTGAGCTTTTATACTAATCACTTCCCTAAAAAGTTTACTGAAATATAAGTAAAGGCAAACAACATCTGTCTCACTATTCAGCTATCCTATTGTAGAAAAAAAGTTAGATGTCTTAGAAAACGATCATAAATTTTTATCATACGAATAACTATTTATTTTTCTTCCAGGCAAATAATTCACCCAACGTGAACCTTTACAAAACCGAACCTGCTCTAAGTGAACCTATGGACGCATATAACGGAATTCTATTTGCTGAAATTTCTTGGGTTGAACAAGTGATCTATAGTCCCGTCAAGATTTTATTTAGCATTGTAGGTTCCGAAACAGCATTAACTGAAATAACATTTATTTCTATTGGAAGGTCACTGATCACTGTAATCCCCAGAGCTTCAAATATGTCAATTACAAAGCAAGTTTTTATATTGTTGTTGTGTTAACATATAATATGTTTATAACATTTAACAAATAAGAAAACCATTTCGTCAAGTATTCGTAGGAAATAAAGTTGATGAAACACTAAGTTATCGTATTCCATGCTATTAATAAATGGTGTACTGTTTGTGGATTATTTCAATGTTTTCCTGCCCGTATTACACTGTGAAGTAAATAGATGTAAGTACCAATACAATAATATTAGTAATCAACCAGTTCATATAAAGATCGTGTCTTACCTAGAGATCTCTCAGCTAATGACTGTATATCCTTTATAAATATTGAATACTATCGCCAAAATTTCAGCGGTTTTATTTGAATACGCAGACGTCATACATTTACATTTCAGTATTTTAACTCTCAAGTGAGAAAGTGGTAAAAATGTTAAAATGAATCCCTTGGAGAGTCTGGTATAGAGTAGATAATACATCAAAAAGAAGTCCCGGTTATTTTGCTACAAGTCTAAAGTCAAGTTGATGGCTATCAACTAAATAATAGTTTTTTTTAGTTTACAAAATATTTTTTCAACATATTAACCGACTGATACTTGACATGAAGCAAAGATTTGATGAAGTCATTTTTTAAGAGGACGATATATGGTAGGAAGAATAAATTAGACTAAGCAAAAGGATTTATCTTATAATCGAATTTATTTTAAAGGAATACTATAATGAGTTAGTTCTTATTTACTGCTGACGTTTATGGACTGGATTCTGTTCTCACAATTAACTGAAAACGGTATGTTAAAGTTGGTTCAATTTCATTCATATAAATTTCCGAAAATAATTTCTACGGGATTATCTGCCGTATTCTAGAATGATATTACGATGAAATGCAAACCCGACTAACTCATTATATCATACGATCGTAAATTTACTACTGAAAGTATATAAAATGGAGTGATTTTTAGTATTAAAATACACTTATTAAGTGATTATATCTTAAACATGTAATTCAACTGAAATTAAATTGTAATGACCAAATGGTTGCCTTGGATATTTAATGTTTATTAACAGCTTATTGATAATATGGTGAAAATTTCCAGTTTATTCTATCACTGGTAATTTCTGAAAGTTTTCGTGCTCTTATGAACAGCATTAGTAAAATTGTTATAATACAGTTCGATAATCTTCTGCATATAAAGTAATGAATAAACTTTTTAGATCAGCTTTATTTTAACAACTCATTCTGAATTTTTGATTTTCTTTTTTATAAGAGTTTTCATCATTAGATATTCCCGGAGACTATATTTTGTTGAATTATGTTAACAAATAAATGACGTTTGCTTTCTATGAAATATTACTTTAATATAATTTGAAGCACTCTTTAAGATTTATAACACTTAACATTGAATACTTGGTGAAATATTATGAACAGTCCTACAATGTATGTTCTTTCAGCGGATGCCGTGTTCTTCAGCTAACAAGAACTCTCATCTTTGACCAAAGCAGTTACATAGAAAGCTCCAACTAATACTTATGAACTCTAGATTGTCTGTAAATTATAGAAAAGACTTAGACAAAGGTATGTGCTCGGCGACCCTGGTTTGGTGTGTATTTCACTTTTGATAAACTAGTTATAATATTCCAACTAAGTATGTGTCCTTAAGGAGTCATGATCTACCTGGACTTGCCATGAAGTTGAAAGATGTATGCGTTTATATACGTTGAATATCACGTCAATGTACTTATTTGTGAAGTTGAACTGAAGGTAAATAATACTATTCTGATAACTTGATCACTGCCTTCAATTGTTACATTAGTCTTTTCATTACGTATTATGAATATGGAGCTGACCTAACGAAATTATTTTACAGTTACAGAAGCCACCCAACTGTTAGTTTGAAATTATTACAAAATGTTTATTCTAATGAAATATATATGAATTGCTACAATTAATTTTCATAAACATTATGAATTTATTATTTTCATTTTTCTTTAAAAGCAACACTGGTATAATCGAACTTCCCTCTGTATATGTTGTTCCCACTCCTTATAAATATGACAATATACTAGTCATCAAGTATTCGGTTAAAATCGTCGGTACAACAAAATTCAAAGTTATATTAGATGTTATAACTGGAGGATATACAGCAACTAGTCAGGTTAACTTCGCACCGATTGCTGCCGTATCACCTCCGCAATTGGTAAGCTATTCAAAAATATGCTTTGATTTTACGTTCGCTGTCAATTATTATGATTAACTTTATTCAATATTATATTTCTGGTACAATATAGAATTCTCAGCAAAAATTATTCCAACAACTATTTGTTTCTTCTTGGTAGATCCTGACGATAAATATTGAGTGATCGCCAATTAGAAGTTAGCAGTCCAGTTAATCGACATCTAAATAATGTACATTATTTTCGCTGCATATTGCCAGCAACCCCAATATCTCTGATTAGGCCTTTTGTAACCTGTACACCGAAAGGTTGCGCACTTTTCAGAAACGAACCTGAAGGGGTTATGCGATTAATAACCATAATGATGTGTATAAACAAAAGAAAATTAGATAACTTGTTGAAATATCTAGATGTCAGGAACATGTAGCCCATATGTTGAACCAGGCCGCCATTTGCTCTAACGGTCTAGTTACATGTTTGAGAGCATCAGCATTTTAAAATAAAACGATAAATCCCTATATGATGTGCCAAAAAGTTAGTAGAAACACTACTTAGTCAAATTTGAAATTTCCAATCAAATTAAAAACAGTCCTAAATTAAAAGTATTTGAGAAAATCACATAATCTATGTCAAGTGTGCATCATTTTGATAAATGTCGCGAATCCTCTAGAAATATTTATAATGAGTATAAATTTATTGACTTCTATTTCAGACAAGTAGTCAATTACCTTACTGGGCAATCGACAGTTTGGCAACCTCTCGCAATAATAATAGTGTAGTACGAGGTGCATTTAATTTACTTTCATTCTCCATGATCATATGTTCAGGCGCAAGACAAACATATTCAGCTCAACTCTACATTTTACAAATTACAAATATTGTAACTTTTATGAAGACAAAAACTATTGTTTTTGGTCGTTCTATTAGTAAGTGTGGAACCTCTTCTACTATTGTCAATGCTAATACTGTAAACTTAAATATGGCTTCACAATACTTTGATAGTGAGTAAATTACTATTAAAAACTTTTATATTCATTGGTAATTTTCTTCTGTTTTTATTGTATTTACTTTTCTTAAGTGATTGACATTAAAATATGAGAAAAATATTTTATTCCAAATGTTCTGTTTTAAGTATATATTAATTAATGTTTTCTTCTTTAGAAGCAATATCTGCTTACATCATCTGTAAATAATTTTATCTAGTTACATTGTCACAATTGATTGATCACTGGGTGGTGATCAGTGTCATGTGTGTCAGGTCCTTCTTAGTGCAGATCGAATGCTATCGACCATGTTGCAATGTGGTCACCAATTTAGGTGACTCGACACTGCGGGCACTATATATTGAGATTAGATGGTGGTTGGCGGTAGTCGACAGGAAACCCTGGACCCGGGTTTCGTTCTACTTGGCACTCGTCAGCAAGGTGTACCTGTAATCTTGAGGGAACTAGTGCTCCCTGGCGGATTCGATCCCGTGTCACCCAGCTTCACAGTCAGAGACGTTACCACTGAGCTATCCGGGCCGCGACCGACCTCCTGTTAAACTGAGATGTAGTCACAATTGATTGATCACTGGGTGGTGATCAATGTCATGTATGTCAAGTCCTTATTTAGTAATCGGACACGATAAGCAATGATACAAGCATAAATCTAAGATGATCTATCTTTCTTAACTTAAAGCTGATGGTGTAACATTTGATTGTCGTATAATATAACAGAACTATGTAAAAAGCTGCTTTGTAATTAATCGACAAATTTATTTACCCTTCGTGATCACTTAAATTAGATAATCGGATTTAGTAAAATCATATGAAAGTTGCCTAAGATCCGTTGAATGGCTAAATTGCTTACTAAATTTCCTACTTGCTTTTGCTTGACTAATTACTTAACTTAAGCATATTACAAGATTTATCAAATTCCGATCTTTAAGTTGACTAAATATAGTATCAAGTTAAAAAGCAAAGTGCACAGTACAGTGTGACTTTCCATCCAGCATTATATGCCGACTAATCTAAGGTTTTTCTCTAGATAGTCAACAAATATTCTACTAATTAAAAACAAAGATCATAGCCATACAATCTGAATGAGAAATTATATAAATTTTATTTTATTTGAAAATGAAGGAAATGTCATAGCCAGTATGAATTAGTACTTAATGTATCAGTACACATCAGATCTTGCTCTTGAATAACGTGTTTCTTCACTCGAAAAATATGTAGTGACTAGTCACCTCATCAATATTTACATGATATTTATTACTAATTTACTCTCTATTTGATATTAAAGTAAGGGAAAATTTAATGTTGCGACAAATTGGATTATGAATCGTTTCTGAATGGTTCAGATTTGTTCATCTAATTCCAGATGATCTGGCTTGAATTTCCCTAATTGTTACTTCTAGAAAACCTGTTGCAAGAAATAGAGTTCACATAAGCCACTACTTTTCTAACTGACATTAATGTACAAAAAAAAATCGAAAAATGCTCTAAACAACTTTTCTAAATATTCATTATTGGACTTTTTATTAAAATTAGAGAACTTTCATTTTATCTTAGTACTAACTAAAACTAATTTATTATCACATGTGATTTTTAGGTAGTGAAAGTATCTCAAATTCAAAAAAGGAAAGATCAATAATCACTTTTCTTGTGCCCTTAAATGTCAATTTACTGGCATCTTCAGTTGTTTCAGTGAGTGTTACGGTTCAATATGGAACACAATCAGCTCAAACGTTCGTCAGTTTACCTGTTATCCAGCCTGAAGTAAGTAATGTCGTTTCATTGAAACTATTTATTCATTTTTATCATGTGATACGTAATTTATTTTACTTTCAGATAGACAACCTCTTAGTAATTTGTGAACCCTTTCATTCTAAATAATCTCCTTAAAGCCTTACTCTTGGTAATAATCATGTACTTACTGGTAACTAGCTTTGAGATGAACTCCTGAAGTTCTAGTAATAAGCTGCAACTGATATTATTCAAGCATTTCCTAAATATTCCATACTAAACACGTTTTGTTGCATAGAAGGGAAAGTTAATTCTTGTTAGCTAAAATAAATAAGCATGATTAAATTATTAGACTAATACATATCTGTATTTAGTACCTGTATCGTAATGAAGGCATTTTCTTCTGTTCTGCTTTCATAATCTTCTACCTTCTGAATAATCCAACCTGTAAGTGAATAGAGATATATGTTCGTCATTTGCACTGTATGCTCTCACTCAGTTATTCAAATACAAGTGATGTCCCAGCTTTATCACAATTTTATTTAAAAACCAAAGTGTAGTCAAACGATTAAAAATTCTATTGGTTCTGTACAATATAAAAATTCAATCACAACAAAAAACTGATCACTGTTGATGGATAAATAAAGACAGATATACTATCATAAACTGCATCATTTTTAAAAGTTCTTAAAACCCATCCAGTTGTACTGTTCAAGCTTTATTTTTACTCTCTGTTTTTATTTTTAAATGTAGTTGAGTATACCACAAACTTCTACCAGTTATCAGATAGATGCCATTAGCTACCAAGACAGACCATATGAACGTACTTCCCTTGTCGCACTTGGACAAACTGTTCGACTTTATAATAAAATTGGTCTTCCAAACACTATGTGTACAACATACTCATTTGAATTTACTATGTCATCCAATTTATGGCCAATTGATTTTCTTGATGCACAACTCGTGAGCTATAGTGATTTTATATGGTCCACTAGTACTATCAACCCTTTAATAACTAAGTAAGTAAAAATAACCTCTCTATAAAGTTATATATTTTCAGATAGAATTCTTTGGTATTTTGATTTATTTGTAGTCACCCATAGTCTACTTATTTGATTTTTACTGACAAACTGAATGTCTTAAATGCTTCACATTGGCCTTCGATCTAGATTGTGAATAAAAATCAGTCATAATTCATTGGATTATGCACATTATACAAAGCGTTTACGGTAGCTAGATTTAGTAAGCAAACAACATGTATACCTTTATTTAAATGATTTATATCAAATGGTAATACGACAGTCAAAATGTCAATTAACTATTTGAACGGTTGATTAACTGAATATTGGCTAAGCTTGTGACTTTTGATCGACAAATGTTTGATATCCAAGATTGAAACTGTCTTTTCTGTTATGCATTTTAAATAAAATTGATGCTTTACTTATAGGCAATGAGTAATTCATTGACGTGTTTTTCCATAATCATATAGGGTGATTTTCAATCACATTTCCATGTCATATAACATCTTATTACAATCGACCATTGAGTTCTTAATATTTATTATATTATGGTTTCACTTTATTCACGATATTTTCTAATCAGAAGATGATATCCTTAAACAGTTAATAGTTTAGAAAGTTTTTGCCTATTCATTTTGACCTATAAGAAACAGCTTAAAGAAAATATTACTTTCGAAATGTTAAGATGAAATATGACCTAAATAAGTTACTTTCATGAAAAGTTTAAGTCCACTGAAACGTTCTATCAGTCTAACTTAGAGGCTGACGAAATATTAAATTAATTACTCGTTATTTTTTCTTTAAACTTAAGTCAATGTTGATAGCCTATTCTTCTATCGACGTACAACATTTAAAAATTAGTTTCATTTCGATAACAACGTTAAGTCAATGATAAAATTTTCTGTTTTATTTTAAACTACATTACCTAGTGAACTCTTTCATCACAGATACATAAACATAAACAACGGTTTTGTAATTTATAACGATAACAAATAACCACCGTTATAAACCAAAAGTTTATACTGAAAAACTATATAAACAGTTTTGATTAGTTAAAAAAAAACAGTATAAACGGAATAAAGTCAATCTGAAATGATTGTATGCACATCGTACTGAAGAATTTACAATTGACCTAAATAACGTGAAAAATTATGTGTGAAAATTATATTTGAAATAATCTCAGCGATTGGAATTTAAATAATTCTAACGTTTCGTCCAGCTAACTTGTCTAGACTTCTTCGAGGTAATAATCAAAATCATCAAAGAAATATAAGAATGATGACAATGAAATATAGAGATTTTAAAACTGTGGTTATTAGGCTTAAAGATGCTGTTCTGTATGTTCGCGTATTATCTTCAAAATTCTGGATAAATCAATTCACTTTTAGGCTCCCTTTCTCTTATTATTCATCAAATAATCCAGTCAGGTAGTTTGGGATAATTAAGACAGTTTTCGTCAGAAACTAACATCGACTAGAAAACTATTTTAAACGAGAGAAAGTAGGGCAGTTATTTTGCCATAATTTAAGTATATAATTTGAATTGCCGACTAAATGATCCGAATGAATACAGTTGGTGATGAGAACTATTTTCACTTCTGAAATTAATTGGAATGTAATGACTGTCATATTATTGAATTATTTATTTCAAGTTAGTTTCATGTTTTTGTGTTTTCTAGATTGGGTTCACCAACATACAACAAAATTACTATGGACTTAGGATCATTATGTGTTCCGGAAACATACGACAATCAGGTAAAATATGTAATGACTTAATGGATGTCTTCATTTGTATCCACTATACTACCATTTAAATAAAATTAGCTCCATGCAGGGGATGATAATTTGTAATCGTAACTTATAATCTCTTTTTTATTTCTTTAGGATAAGTAACTTCATTCAGCATTTGACCTAAGTAGTACCGACTGATATCTTATAGATGATATTTTAACTGTTTCATTTCTTTTGCCGTTGCAAGCTAAAATATTTAAAGGCCGTTTTGGAGTAACAACCTTATTGATCCATACTTGTTTGAAGTAGGCATCTGTTTATGCTGTATATTTTCTTACTCACCGCTTCATTAGTATAAAAGTCTTTTTAATATATCTTTGACTATTGTTATTATTATAAAAGAAGTTACTTATGAATTAACATTCTAGCTTTCAGTGGTTGAAATGTGCATATATACACTTAACATTTCAGTTGTAATCAAATTCACCAAGAGATATACCTGTGACTGCAATTATAGCTTGAATTTATTTAACTGCCCAAATGAATTGAAACAATTACTTGGGTGGATGATTAATCCCATCGTTACGCTACGTTCTCTTATTGATCTGTCCAACCATTCAAACTTAACAAACAAAACAGATCCACTTTAAATACACTATAAATTTATTCAGTAGGTTAAATTGAAACATATCGCTTCTATCATGCGCATTTGTATTTGTAGAGGTCATCGAATAAAGCTACATACACATATTTTAAGCTGTCAGTGATAATGAAATTTGAAAAATTAGAGTGTAATAAAACGTATTAGTCATTACAGATGAACTCCGAGATTAAGAATCCCGTGTATAGATAGTAACTGTCTAGCCTTATCATAAGTATTGTATAAAAATTCATATATAGTGCATTTAATATGGGGTTAAAAACCTTACTGTTTGATCATATCTATATATCACGTCTAGTCTCAAACAAGTAATCCTGTCAATAAAGATATTAGAATCAACGCTTGTTTTGACCATTATGTGCTAAATGATCAATTGTACTACTAAAAAGAATGAAAAGATAACTAATTTGTTTATAAAAATTAATTGTATTACAGAAAATATGATATGATACTAATTACATTTTTCACTGCTATCTACATTAACTAACGCTTTAAACATGGTTACCATTATAGATTCTCATAATTATTTTTAGTTATATGAAAATACTGTAAATAGAAAAATATCCTAAAGATTATAGTAGTTTGAGATGAATTTGTGAAATACTGTTTACATTTATTTAGTATATTGCACTTTAAAAAATCGTAAACATTTTATTGCACATTTTGGGAAAATGATTCCTTTAATTCTGTGAAGTATTTAAGAGACATATTTCCCTGGATAAATTGAAAGAAACTCCGTAACATAGTTTTTTTATGAAATTGAAAAATTCGGCAATAACATCTACACGTAGCCTCCACAAAAAATCAAGTCCACAAGTACAATTTCGGTATTATTTGACTTTAGATAATTTATAGTTAATATTATCAACGATTGGAATTCATGTTCGATTCCCGGCCTTCTGAAGGTCAGTTTAACATCAATTGCATGCAACGACTTTATAACATGTGATCAACAGCGGTCATTAGTTAAGATAATGATCTTTCCATAACTTTGAGTCATAACAATAAGGAAATCTGAATACTCGATCGCCATATCTAGTAGTTACGATATTTGTATGATTCCCAGTTCTTTTGAGATACTGAATCACATCAGATTCCGTTCACTTGCCAGATAAAGTATGCCGAAAATCCACACAAAATTAATTATTATATATATGCTCCATTGATTTATATATGTTAATTGTTAACTCCATCGAACACATTTTCTACCTCGCATGAGAAATAAAAGAGACATATTACTATAATTGAAATCACAAGCCGATCAAAGTTAGAAAATCACTGAGTACCTCAAAGCACAGGACAGACGTTTAGTGCTACCATAGGATTCCTCAACCAGAAATCAATTTCATAATCTTTGGTTTAGTGATCGAATGTCTAACCTCTAGACCATTGACTCAGTATCTGATAGTGTGTACAAGTCTAGCTTCAATCAATCTTTTATTAGATCTGTACTTACGAAGTGACAAATAATGAGTGAACATTATGCAGATTTTATCACGAAATAATTTCACATAGCAATAGGAAAAATATTCAAATTTATTTAATTTTTTCACAGGTCCGGATTGACCTTTTTTTTCGCCCAAGGAGTAATTTTTCAGCGAGTACTGTAAATGGAAATATAACTGTGTCTGTTAAAAGTTTGCTTACAGTGGGTACTCTATCTAGTCCATTGTCTCTGTCAACAGGCGTTTTTGTATTTAATAAAGATGCACTCATGAAAGAAAGTATGTTTGTATTACCATCATTCAGTGAAGACAAGTATGTAAGTTTATCTTTTTGATCTACTAAGAAAGTAATGTGTGTCTATATATTTGCAGTGTGCAAATATCATTAAGTTTATCTGCAATGTTATAATTCAAATCATCACAGTAAAAAAGAGTAATGAATTGTAATAATTTGCTATTTAAACTGCTTTTACTAATTAGACACAATGAGTGCATTTTTTCTGGTGAACTGCACTACTTCTATAAATCTTATAACCGATAATCAAGAGAATAACCTCTTGTTACGTATTCACTGTTAAGTTAGTAATAAGAATAATCTTTTCAAAAAATCCAGTTGAATCTTAAAATTTGATCTGATTTCAGAAACCTTGGATCAAAAACATTACAAATGGAATTTCTTTTCAACCAGGCATATGGACAAAGTTCACATTTAGAGTACAAGTACCATTTGCCTCTTATCTGCCTGATTCATCTATCTTTGTGGGTGGTGCTAATTCTAGTGCAGAGAATGAATCAATTTTTACTGTTAATGGTGCACTCTTAACTTTTGGATCTAATTTGGCTGGATTACGTTTGGATCAATTTAAACAAGTATACTCATCTACATACATGAATGGACAAAAGGATTTGTTGGAAATAAAATTGGGAAATGTTGTCAATACAGGTAGTAAATGATAATACGAAGTTAACACTCTAGTTATTTTTTCTGGCTATGTACACAATAAACTTATCAACTGATTGATCTTTAACACGTTTGTTACGTGTGAGACAAAAACACATTTGTTAGCTAGCATCTGTAAATATATGTCAGTTAAGTAAGTAGCTATATAAGTTGGTATTAATCAATCAGGTTGAAGATCTGTAAAAAGTTTGAAATTAATAATTAATCCTTAAATCTGACAAAGGTTCTGGACTAGTTTTTATGAATAAATGTGACTATAAGGTAAAAATGTTATCTGTACTTGGTGATCAGAGTAAGTTTTTGGCGGACGTTCTATCCACTATTGATGTTAGAAAATAGGAATCCAGGTTAAATTTCAATCTAATGAAACTACTTAAAATGAATTTCATAAACGAAAAGGGATTTGATATAATGAAACCTACCGGCTATTTTCTCTCGAATTTATATGGGTTGCCTAAAGTTCACAAACCTAATAATCCATTACAACCAATATTATCCATGTGTGGTTGATCTACACATGAACTAACAAAATGATTAGCTGAATTAATGAGACTGATCGGTAATAAACTGTGTAAATTTTCCTTGAAAGATACATTTAAACTAACTGATTTTCTTGATGACATTAGTATTAAAGAAAAGATTAAGCATTCTTTCGATGTAAACTCTCCTTTTACGAACGTATCTTTAACTAAGACTGTTGATTTCCTGTGTAACCGTATATCTAGTGATTTCTTCCTTTTTCCTATTCGGTCAACACTGTTAAAAGAACTACTTATGTTGCTATGAGTAGCCCTTTGGCGCCTCTCTTAACTGATGTATTCATGTCATATGTTGAAAATATGACGAGCAGGCTCAACGGTAAGTTAATTCTGTACAGCAGATACATGGGTGATATACTAGTTATATGTGATAAAGATTTCGATGTTTCTCAGTTATTAAATAAACTCAATAGTGTACAGAATGATATCATAATGACTTATGAGGAAGAAAGTAATAACCAATTGCCTTTTTTGGACATATTTTTGAGTCGAAGAGAGAATAGAACTATAAGGTGGTCAGTTAAATGAAGCCAATATTTAAAATTTAACAGTTTCTGTCCATTGCAACACAAGGGAGGCTTGGTTAAGTGCATCCTTAATAGGATTAAAAGAATATGCGAGTAAAGAAGACACAAAACTGCTGACTAACTCAATAATATCAGTTTTATCCAATAAAGTGTATAAATAGGTGCAAAAGTCAGTCGACCCCAAAATTTTTCATTTATTTTGTTCTGAAAAAAAACTGTTTATATCTCTCTAACATTTAGAGCTGAATCCAACAGCATGGTTTTAAGGTAGAGACTAAAAACAGCCATCGAGAAAACCTATTACTTTGTTAAACTGGTTGTGATTGAAACGACTAAGTCCGTGATTCTAAATAGACCCAGACAATCCACAAACGACTACGTCATAACCCATCGCATTTACCAATTTACATGTTTGTGTAGACAAACATACATAGGGAGGAATGATCGAACAATGAGATCAAGGGTTATGAAACATGTACCTCGATGATTTTTATAAGCAAGCATTGATAGTGGCTAGCAGTGGAATCCAGGACGCGCATTTCGTCCTGTTTGGGACTCGTCAGCTGGATGTACCTGCATCTCAGAGTTGATGTGCACTCTAGGACTCGAACTCAGTACCGTTCGCTTCTAACGCCATCGCGTTATCCACTCAGCGACTCAGTCCTGATAGCCACTTGCTTGTGCAATGGAACGAAACGCGCGTCCTGGATTCCACTGCTAGCCACTATCCATCTTTGCTTATAAAAGCTTGTGAATTAAGACAATATCGAGGCATACACACAGTATGCACAACAGACTGATCAATTGCAGTCTTAAACCTCAATGGGAAGATACAAGCAGAACAATACCAAGTGAATGTACCTAGATGGCTCAAAAATCAGTTAATGTCAAATGTTCCGATCAACGTAGGAAGTAGGAAACCATGTTTATCAACAGCACAACACATAAATGAAACAAAGCATAAAATTGACATCAATACTGCTTTAAAAACGTTGTATAGAAATTGTCAAGGATGAATTCCTAGCTTTATAGAAGCCCTGGCGGGCAATACCGGAAGTCTTGCATTCGATTCCCGGATACGGGGTCGTGAGTGCACTCGACTGAGAAGTCTCATACTGTGATGAGGAGGGCGTCCAGTGCCCCGCAATGTTCTGTGGCCATCTGACTGAAATAATTTCATGATTTAAATCATAAAAATAATGGTTCGTTAGGACTTTAAGTGAGAATATTTTTTTGAATTATCATTTACGATCTTTTCATCATGACTTTCTGTCCAAACATTTCTCACATTTTCAGAACTATTTATATATAGAAATCGTCAGATTGATTAAGTTTGTACGTGTTTGTTCGTAAATGTTTATGATCTATCAACCCTTCTTTTATAATCCTCCGGGAGTGAGGATCCTCTTTTGGCAGTAGTTAACGTATAATAATCGCGAACTTATTAATCCGAATCAAACAACATAGATCCAGCATAACTTTAAAATTGTCATAACATTCTCAACTGCTTATAATTATGTATATGTAAGACTGAAAAAGCTTCTATTTATTTTTAATGAATATGAGTATAAATTTCTGATATTCCTTTTTTACGAAACTTCTAGGTGTTCTTTTACACCCAGATTCAACCAGTATAAATGAAAATGACATAGCGGTTGAAGTATCGGTTCGCTTATCTGATAGTAAACTTAGTGATAATGGAACGAATGTTACGCTTCCTATTCGAGTTAAATTTGGTAGCCTCGAAGCTGTCAATCAAATGGAAGGTAAAGTGTTCAGGGTTGGAGATGAATTTCTTAATCTACAGATGAATGTTATAAATTTGGATGAAAACGTGACTGGCCTGGTATATAATCCGAAGTAAGTTTATCATTATATATATATATATATATATATATATATATATATATATATATATATATATATATCTATATATATATATATATATATATATATATATATATATATATATATATCAGCAGCCTGAAATTATGAACATTTTTTTTATTTTATGGCACCTTAATAGTGTGTAGATTACATTGATATCAGATGGGACTAATGCCTTTCATACGTGTTTCCGTGAAGAATTAAGGAATACGGGAAAAGTAACGAATCGTCGAAAGCTAAATACAAACATAAATTGTTTTTTTGATAATGCAATGAGAAGACGAAGTTTATCAGAATTATGTGATATATTTGCGCAATACATTTCGAACAATCTGAGCACACATATACTTGTTAAGACATTTTTATATGAAAATTAGAAGAAACAAACGAATTCCAATGGTCAAATTAGATCACAGGATAGGCAGACATCATCCTTCATTGTGAAACATTTGATTGAGACATCAAATCAGCATTTGTAGTGTTGTACAATGGCCTTCAAGGAAGTATACTAAGGTTTATTGAAGCCTTGGCTATACGGAAACTGAGACAATTTATCCTTACCCTTAATCTACCCTGGTAATACTGATTTATTATCCAGAGTGGTTATCACATTGTTTTTGTGTACTTTAATATTATTTTTTTTCTTTTTTCTTTGTTATGGCTTACCTTTAACCTGTCTAGTTGACCTTTTAATTTTCATATATAAATGTTCTTAACAAGTATATGTGTGATCAGATTGTTTGAAATGTATTGCGCAAATATATCACATAATTCTGATAAACTTCGTCTTCTCATTGCATTATCGAAATTTATCAAAGGGACTAGATGTTATAAATTGCTTTCTTTCTTTGTGTAACAAAATAGTTTTACATTATTTAGTACATTTTTACTTACTTGCTTACTTACGCCTGTTACCCCTCGTGAAGGAGAATAGGCTGCCCATCAGCATTCACCATCCAACTCTGTCCTGGACAATCCTTTCCAGTTATTTCCAGTTGTTATTCGTTCTTTTGATGTCTGCTCCTAATGTCTAATTCAGTGTGTTCCTAGGTTTTCCTCTTTTCCGTTTCCCTTTAAGATTCGAAGTTAACGCTCACCTTGTGATGCAGTTTGATTATTTCCACAATATGTGTCCTATCCACTCCCAGAGTCTTATTCTAATGAATGCTTATTTTCTACACAGTTTCGACCCAACTTATAAAACTTTGAAATTACTACTCAGTCAAAACAGGTACATAATAGTCATTTTCATTTTTGAAGAAATAATGTACATCATAGACGATATATCACTTATACAATTAGATATATGAATGCGAATTGCTCAAGTGCTATTGTAGTGAACAAGAACACGGGTGGGGACAATCGACTGTATTTAGCACAAAAATTACAGACTGTCTCAATAAAATGTGAATACCATAAAGTCAATCGTCAATTTGCAAGATATCATTCCATCATATGAAACTGTACTGTTCCCGTTGCAAACACTAATCCATTGTCTCCCATTCCATTGTACATGGGTTTTCTTACAATTCCATTGTGCTCTTGCTCTTCCTTTCTTGATCTTCGCCATCTTCTGCTGCCGGACATTACGTTCTTTTAACGCACGTTATATACTACTTATATGAATATAAGTAGCTCACACCACACTATATCATTTTTGGTTTGAAAATATTACTGTTTCCAGTGATACAATAAACCTGAGAGCTAAAATTCAAATGATGAATAACTCGAAAATGGAATGTGGAAAACAATGGTTAAATATTTATCACAGTATGGCCGTAAAATCAGCAGAAATTCTGTACTCCATACCACCAGACTCTGTTCAGTTCAAAAGAAATGAAACAATAACTATTAAGGAATTCACACGTTTTCAAGTAAGCTGACTTTTATTTTTCTAATGATAAACACCCCTTCCGACTAAAATTAATTTAAATGTTTTTGTAAACTGGCTGAAAGAAATTATTAGTAAAGTGTTTTGTCGAGATTGTTGAGTTGAGCTTACATCACCAGTTGACTCTAACTACAGAGACCATTGAAAACCAAGAAGTACTGAACAGCTTCCTTGTCTAATAACAGAACTGTAAAACTATATGATCCCGTCACAGTACCCTAGGTTCGATATCTGAATGGTTGTGGGTGTGTGCTGATGATTAGCATACTACAGAGAAAAATCTATCAAGTGCTTCTTGGTTTTTAGTAGTTATCCATCTACACTCAGACTGTGACGTAAACTGTAAAACAAATTACGGAGACTGTAATATATCAAATGAGATGGCTGTTTAAACCTAAATGAACGTAAATTGTTAACTGGTTGTCATCCTACTTCATGTTGTTGGATTTATTTTAATAGTCACTTTTTAGTATGACGAGTTCGCTTAGTGATGGACCTTAAATTATGTGTGATATTCAAGGGTGAAACATATCCAAAACACTTTTATTTATCGCAAATCCTGCTTTAACCTAGAGTTGTATCCCCTTTAATTAAGAATGAATATCTTGATGTTTTCGGATCCTCATAGAAACTATTCCCCTTCCACGGTGTGGGCAACCGGGAAGTGATAATCGCCCTCATACCTCTAACAGCACCCAAGACCACTGTATTCATAATCAACCTTCCTCTTCAATTCCTATTATTCATCCTACATCGACTTTCAACCCTAAACTTCCTCCTTCGGCTTCCTCCTCAAGTGTCACCATAGCCAACGATTCTAGTGCTCAAAACTCTGTCCCAGGTCTACTGAAACCTCGCTCCAAACTACACATTGGAGCCTTCAACGTACGCACTCTATGTCAAATCGGTCAGCAGGCTTCCTTGGCTAAAACCCTAGAGTCTCTTTCCATTGATGTATGCTGTGTCTCTGAAACACGCATACAGGATCCCAGTGTGGTCATTCACTTGTCCTCACCTCGGCAAAACGGAGAGCCAACGAGATACACCCTACGTGTATCTGGTGACCCGATGGCCAGTTCTCGTGGACTGGCAGGTGTAGGCATAGCACTAAGCATGAGGGCGGAACAAGCACTGTTAGAGTGGATCCCCGTTAACAGTCGTTTATGTGCTGTTCGGCTAAACGGCTCCGTAAGAACTCGGAAGGATAGGAACACACGTCGTTGTATTTTCGACATTCCTGCCTACGCTCCCACTGACTGCAGCTCAGATGATGTGAAAGATGAATTTTACAGAAAGCTGTCCGAACTTCTTCAGAAAGCTAAACGCTCAGACATAGTACTCGTAGCAGGTGACTTTAATGCTCAGATAGGTAGCTTAAACCAAACAGAAAGGCATTTAGGTGGATATTTTAGCATTCCGGCACAGCGAACAGATAATGGTGATCGTCTGCTGCAACTGTGCTCAGACAATCGCTTATTTTTAGCAAACACAAATTTTAAGCATAAGAGACATCGTCTAACATGGTGACCGCCTGCACCAAACCAACGATGGACTCAAATAGACCATATTGCCATCAGTCATCGTTGGAGAGAGTCGGTAGAAGATTGTCACTCATTCTGGAGTACCTGCTTGGACTCCAACCACGCCCTAATACGGGCACACATCTGCTTGCGCCTCACTGGACGCAAAAATCCCACACTAAAAAGAGCCATTAGAACTGAATTGAGTAACGAGAAAACCAAAAGTAGGTTCCAGGAACAACTGAGGTCACACTTAGGTAGTTCTGAAGACGAGGCTGACCCAGATGTTGCTTGGAATGAAATACAAGCAGCTGTGGAAGCAGCAGTGACATCTATTAGCGACTTAAACCACAGAGTTTCAAAGAACCAGTGGATTTCTTCAAAGTCTATCACACTGATGGATTCTCGCAAACTCGTTCCATCAGGTTCCGAACATGATGAAGAGCGACAACAAATCAGATCTAGGTTAAGAGAAAGTCTAAGAAACGACCGTGAGCAGTGGTGGGCAACGAAAGCAAGAGATGGAAAAGGCGGCGGCTATAGGGAACACAAGACAGCTCTACAAACTAACAAAAGAAACTGGAATTAATAAGTCAAGTGTAAGTGAGATTATATCGGAAAAAGACGATACACTCATCTGCTCCCAGTCCAGGCGTTTAGAACGATGGGCGGAACATTTCAGAGAACAGTTCAGCTGACCTTCAGCTACTCTACAACTACCCTCCATTCCCAGACAGTGTGAATGGAACATTGAAGTAGGTCCCCCAGCTCTAGCAGAAGTTCAAAAGGCTATAGTTATTCTGAAACGAGGAAGGGCAGCTGGTCCAGATGGATTGGTTCCAGAGGTCTTTAAGGATGGTGGTCCAATTTTAGCGATTAGGTTGACTAATATTTTAGCTAAGATCTGGGAGTTAGACGTTATTCCATCTAACTGGTCACAATCACTTATCGTCCCAATAAGAAAGGGTCAAAATCATCCTGTGACAACCACAGAGGGATTAGTTTAACTAATATAATATCTAGAATACTAGCCTCGATAATTACCAGACGCCTAACTAAGACTCGTGAACTGCAAACACGAGAGAACCAAGCTGGCTTTAGACCTGGTCGTGGCTGCATCGACCACATATTCACCATTCGTCAGATTCTAGAACACAGGCATACTTATCGGCGTCCGACAATGGTGGTCTTTCTCGACTTAAAAGCAGCATTTGACTCTGTAGACCGCGAGATTCTGTGGCAGTGTCTGTCATTGAAAGGCATACCTCAGAAGTACATAAACCTTGTAAAGGCTCTTTACTCGAACACTACTAGTCGAGTCAGAGCTTATGGCGAACTGTCATCTACTTTTGCAACCTCAAGTGGTGTCCGTCAAGGCTGTCCACTTTCCCCATTTTTGTTTAACTTCATCATAGATCTACTGATGGAAATAACTTTCTCGTCGACTGAGTTCTCGGGTATTGATCTCCTACCAGGAGGTCCACTTATCGACTTAGAATACGTAGATGACATAGTCCTGTTTGGTGAAGACGCTGATAAAATGCAGAGTCTTTTGGTAGCACTGAGCAACAATGCCAGAATGTTTGGAATGCGCTTCTCTCCCTCTAAATGCAAGTTGTTGCTTCAGGACTGGTCTGCGTTAACACCTGAACTAAGGATAGGGAGTGAAGTAGTCGAACGCGTTGACAACTTCACTTATCTTGGAAGTCTGATCAGCCCTAATGGGTCGGTATCGGACGAAATCTCAGCACGGATTCGAAAAGCTCGCTTGGTTTTTGCCAACTTGCGTCACCTATGGCGAAGGCGAGATATCCGTCTATCAATAAAAGGATGAGTATATTGTGTGGCAGTCCGTTCTGTTTTAATTTACGGCAGCGAAACATGGCCATTAAGAGTAGAAGACACTCGTAAGCTACCAGTATTTGACCACAGATGCCTTAGAAATATTGCTGGCGTCTGCTGGGATCACCGGGTAAGTAATAGTGAGGTTAGACGCAGGGTACTAGGGAATGATGGTAAATCAGTTGATGAGGTTATGAATCTTCATCGACTGAGATGGTTGGGCCACGTGTTACGTATGCCTAAACACCGGTCACCACGACGTGCAATGCTGACCGGTGTTCGGAATGGTTGGAAGAAAGTTAGGGGCGGCCAAACCAAAACGTGGCATCAGTGCTTGAAGTCACTAACTTCTAGTCTGAGCCACGTTGGTAGATGCAGACTACTTGGTTGGGGTCCGCGTGACTATCGTAACCAATGGTTGAAGACTCTTGGTGACATGGCTCAGAATCGATCTCAATGGCGTCGGTGTATACACTCCCTGTCTTCCCTTAAACTAAGAGATTAAAATCGCTTCATATCTTTCTTTCTACGAACCAATTCTTTCTTCTTGTACTATGTCTCTATATGCAATCTTTCTCCTACATATTACTACCTTTGACCTAACCACTGCTATGAATCCGGTGTTCATCTTGTTGTGCTGATGCGGTATGGCAACCTGAACCGATGCACATATGTGCCTGGTCCTACGTTGTAGCTGACTGATAGAAACTATTCTAAAACTAGTGTTTTTTATGTATTTGTGTAGGTTCAGTAAAGTCTAATTATGAGTTCGACAGAAACTACAGTTGACATACAACCAAATCAATGTTTCAAAATTCTTAATACAGAGAAAGCTCAATTACTCATGAAAACTTTTTTTCCATATAGATTTCGGCAATTATTTTTAGAAATACTTCGTACTCGCAATTGAAGTTTTGATTTTTCAATTCATTATACATGTACAAAGTATATTCTAAAACAAGTACTCTAATCATAAACACGCAGTTGGTGTTCGGTATTTTACTTAAAAGAATTATTAGTATAACATGTAAGTCAACCAAATCATACAAGTCAAATCATAAATACTTAAAAATGTAAGGATTCGGACAATGGTCTCTTCAGTTAATTAAAAAATACAATTACAAAGCGTCTCACGGAAATTCCTTTTTCAAAATCTCTTTCTTATATTTAACAACCAGCAACTAAATAAAAAAATTCCCTTAAACTTAATTCTACAAATCTCATGTCGATTGTCTTTAAAGAGTATTATATTCACAGAGTAAAAATATTTATTTCATCTTTTTATGAAGCATACAGTTTGAAAATGTCACTGCATACATCTTTTCTTTGTTTAGGCAAATGGTTTCTATTTTGATAACAACATAGATCTCTACTTTAAGCTACAGCTAAATGACAAGATATTCATTCCAAATGGTAAAACAGAAGCAAATCTAACAATAGTTGTTGAACTTATTTGTATTACATATAATCGGGATAGAACTCTATTAAATTCATGCAATAATCCGACATTGAAAAAAATCATGAGGAAAGTTGTGGTTAAAACTAAACAACAAACTATAACGGGTAAGTTTTATTAACACACATGTTTTGTCATAGTTTACGCCATAGACAGGTTTAGTTAAATGACCACTGAAAATCAGGATTTATTGGACAGATGTTTTTGCTTAGTGTGTGACTCCTCAGCAGTCCGCATTTATGGCTCCATCGAGAGTCAGGCCTAAGACCATCGATCCGACAGCATACTCTGGACATCTAAATCAGTGTTTAAACACTAAAATGTATTCTTATATCTTTTCGAACCATTATAAACTGAAAATTGCCCATTACAAAGTTATTTTTTGTAAAAAAAACAATTCAACCTCTAACTGACTTCGTCACTTTTTTTCTCAGCCAAAGCATTATAATGTTAATTCGGTAAATTGTCATTATTACTTCTGTAAAATTATTAAAAGACATCACAGCTTAACTGGATAACCCTATCTGGTTTCACAAATCTGTGATCCTTTAATTTACTTTAATCTTATCTTCATTCTTATAGGTTCAGATTGTGAAGAAAATTTGGGCCTTTCTAACAGTCGAGTAATTTTACCATGTCAGATCACTTCATATGTGTCACCCTATCTTGGAAATACAGAAGAGCAAATTAGATTCTATTCAGCGTCCGGTTGGAAACCATTTGTTCGTCCAGGACCACATGATCCTTTACGTTATATCACTATTTTATTCGGCCAACAAACAAATGTCAGTCGAATAGATATTAATCTGATAAACACAGCTAATCAAGTTATGATTTTCCACTTGATGGGAACCAACGATGGTCAATCGTTCTTCGATTTTAAGACAGTAAGTACCTGACACTTAGAGTGACCTGAAATCTCAGGAAAGTTGAAAAAGTAACACGCCGATTTAATTCCTACACCATTTTTAAGTTAAAATAAGTACCATTCCAAAATGAAGTCCAAGTTTATTAATCAAGTTTCTTCAACATTACGTTAATCTTTTCATATATTACGTTTGTTAGTAAGCATATCGTATTTCCAAGTCAAATCAATAAACTGATTAAGGTGGTTGTTTCTATAAGGTTAACTTCTCTCATCTCACATATCGCTATTGATAATAACGAATTTTGATTATATTTTGACATTATGAGATTAATACTATACTATGTACTGTTATCCTATCCATAAGATAACCAGTACTTTTCTTTTAGATACACATTGAATATTTCTTTATAATCGATACCAATATGAAATTTTAGCTTATGTAGTTCTATTGATCATGTACAAATTTAATATTAGTCACTAATGTGCAATCTTTTTATACATAGACTCAGGTTTCATGGCAGTACGAAGTGGAAACTAAATTGTATCTTTGAGCTTAAAAAGAAAATACTGATCCCTCCCACTTAATGTGAACCTTTATCATCAACTTATGAAGTTACATATGTTATCACTGAGTTAATCGAACTACAGTTTACTACCAGTAAGACTGAGATCCTGGTTTCATTAAATTGCTTAATATGAAATAAACTGTAGTGTAATGTCAAATCAATTAAACTAGTAAACACATATTAATTTAATTGATAGAATTTAGTCGGTATTAAACAAAAGATAACGTGACAATTTCGGAGCACAATTTGTTAACAACTTACAAAATTATATGGGGATACCACACATTATAATGTTATGGAGACACTAACTTGTATCATATCTAACTAATTAATGAATTTTTTAATCAATACTGTAAGCATTTATTAACAACTAAGATATAACCGAAACTTTATCATAACCATTATTTAACAGGCGTCAGTTTCCTACATAAATCAAAGTTATGGCCGCATATTTCTTCAGCCAAAATTTGTCTCAAGAGGAATGCGATTAATCGTCAGTGAGACAACAAATGAAAATAATGATGTATCTTTTACACTTGAACTTTATGGATGTAGACTTAACTTGGACACAAACACATTTGGTATTTTAGTTTACCATTTTTATCTTGATGTTATTACTTATCATCATTATTATCTAAAATTACTGCGTAGATAAGGTTAATACGAATTTTAAAAATTTAAAAAATAACCAATTTCCAATTGTACAGTAATCTTGTGCATTGCCACGCAAGTATATCTACGTTTTGCTTTAGTTTATAACCGATATTGTAGGGGAATATTATTATGATATTTAAAATGTAGTTTAAGTTTACTGGAAAATATTATGAAAGCCCACTGAAAAACAGTGCAAAAATTAGAGTTGAGACGAATTTCAATATAATATCATACCATTCATTTACCATGCCAAAAGCAACAGTATGTTTCCTAGTTATTACTACAAAACACTATAATTCACTTCCGTGGTGGAAACAGTAAACCTTAAAATGATATCAAAGATTACGATTTCCTTATTTTGACTTATGAATAGATTTCATTCACTAAGAAATAGCTAGGAATATTTTTCATCCCGGTACGAGGATTCTCAGAACTACGCATCAAAGATCACATAGGAGATCCAAGCATGGAGCTTAAGTCTCATGCTCTAGCGCCACTGGGCCAGAATTTTATGGTGTGCATGTCTAACCTCAATCAAATATACCAATGATATTAATCGATAATCGGTAGTACAATTCCATCTATCTGTGGTGTATGCTACTTATATCTGTCGATATAAGTAATATGTAACACCAGTCAGAAGTGGCAGCAAAACGCTGAGATGATTAAATTGAACAAAACAGAAATGTAAATGTAGAGTACTTGTGATAAAAACAGGAATGAAGGAACGATGAAGTTTGTAAGAGACAACTGATGGAAGATGTGCAAATGAAGTATTTAATGTATAGTTTTCGTATTTTACAAAGACATTCTATAATTTTGTATTGACTAAAAATCGTTAACCCCCATCCTGAAAACTCGTTTACTACATATTAACTAGTAATTGCTAGGGCTATCCAATCCGTACTCTAGTATTCATGAATGGACCAGTATTGAAGCCAAAAACCGTAGTGAACGCACATGGTACTATATTTTGTAATCCATATCAGGCTCTGAATAACGTACAAAGGAATCATCATTATATACAATCATCACATATCTCCATGCAGCAAATGACTTAGATCAGATTTATTCATTTACCGATCATAAAAGCTTCCACGATTAATATGGTTTGACTGGATATTATGTATTTGGTAGTTTCTGTGATAATGGTGTTATTTAAAAGAGAACGCTATTAATTTCAGTCTACTTTCGAAACAAGCTTACTGCATTGGTGGTCTGTCTCGTTCGTACAACTTAATACTTTTGTTCGAGATTATGATGTTTTGAATAATCAGCTGTGCGTTACGACTTACTAATGACATTGTAGGGCATATTTGATCTAAATTGAAGGAAATTTTAATAAAAAAAATCGGTATCTAAGGTGAAATTTACAAACAGGAAGATGATCCATCCAAGGTCAGCACTTCAAAGTTATAACAGAAAAAGTAACATCAGATTGTACTTTCCATTCATATAAAGTATTTAGTAGATTTTGTGCAAAAAACAATAACTGTATTCATTTATACAAGCAAAAGTATTGCTTAAAATATGTACTTTCATTTTAACTCATGGTAATCCTCAATCCCTATTATCAGATCCATGTGGTGTCCAAAATGGTTATGTGAGCCCATCAAACAATGGTCTACGAAGTTATCTTTATGCTGATGGTTATCTTTTCTATTGTGATGAATTTCCTACCACAATAAAATCGTACCTTACTGAAAAACGGTGTTTCGTGACATACAACAATGCTGACATGAAGTGGACAGGTTAGTATACTAGCACATTTCAACAACGAATTACTGCGGTACATGAAATACGTAAATTGATTTCTCCTTATTGTATATCACTAGATCAATCAAGAAATAAGGTCAAAAACTTGGAAATTTATACTCTGAACATATCCTGTTTTCCATTCGTACTGTTCAGTTATAAAGTATCAATTTTAATTCTAGATAGGATACGAAAAGTTGACGTGAGCTAGAAATTTTAATTAATATGTGGAAAATATGACTAGTTAACTCTTACTCAAAGTATCAGATCAGATGTTTTGCTTTAAATATAATACAATGTGCATTTTATGTCAGATTTTGAACGATACCGAAATTCAATCTAGTGATCACATAAAATACAAGAATTTATTTAAAAATGATATTTTTTGGATGACCCATAAAAAATACGGTTTCCATGAAAGCGAAAGTTAGAGTATCCCATTTTTTCAAATTCCATTGTCCTAATAATCAACACTTATGTACAATCTTCAACATTACATAGTTTCAGATTTTTAGTAAATTTTGTATATTTGATAATAAAAAAAATTTAATTATTGAAATATCCACTGTGAACTAGGTTTCATCTACATGAACAGTTGATAGAATTTTTAGTCATTGGAAATACAGGTTTATCGTATCATTACATAGAAATAGAGATTACCAGTCACTTAACATTTTATTTACTTTATCAAGCTATGTTAAACTTTAGCCTTATTCTTTATTAGCGGAAGTGAGAAGGTATCAAATTAATAGGCGATCAAATAAATGATGAACTCAAACTCAACTTTAGGTCTAACTAAGACTATCCTTAGGAAATTTATATTCAACTATCGGGTAGAGAAACCAAAAGATTTTCCAGTCAAAATTTTTCAAACAGTAAATAGTCCTCATCATTTCAGAAATTCCACAAATATATTTATTTTAGCTTTAATACATTGCAACTTGAAAAGTAGGATAAGAAATCTAAGGAATTTTTTTACTGATAACAACCTTGGCCCATATATTGTGTTTTGGAAGAGATAAAACTCTAATGATATCAGTTTGGTCATTCTATGTGTCCCCCAAACATTGTAATAGTCAACATGCCAATAAAATTAGTGTCAGTCTACGTGTAGTCATGTCACCAAGTTATAATGATGTAAATTGGTGCACCGGTAATAAAAGTGAGAAGTAGGACAAAAAGTCTATAAGATGGCGAAAACACTGACACTTATATCAAATTTTAACATTTTATACCTCATCACAGCCGAAAAGCAATGTTGTTCTATGCATATTGTATATTCGTGTTTGGATTAAAGTATTGCATTCTAACCAACTATCATGTTATGTATGATAACAAAGTGAATGCTAGATACTTAATTCAAAGAATAGTTCGGTCCAGTTACAAACAGAATAACTTTTAGTTACATGTTATAGAATGATATTCTATTCCAAAAACTAACAGAAGTATTCATTATCACTAGAAAAGAAACAAAAATTTCACCTTTTGCAGTGACCTCCATTTCTTGATAGAAATAGTAATGTTTTTATTTGTCTAACGGATATTAGATAGGCTACTCATAATATTTCTAACATGTAATACATATTATTATTATATTAATTAACTATTGAGTTTCTTTACTTTTAACGTAATTTCACACTCTTCTTCCGTGCCAACAGACCTAGGGCCATTCATTACAAAAGTCTTGAGTTACATAAGTCCTAGTAATATAATATTTGCTCAAGGTCAAAACGATGATAGTATCTTATTGAGTAGTGATTACGGAGAAAGATGGACCTCCACTAACTTGTATACACAAGTAAAATTGACCAGAAATGCAAGTTATTACATAAATTCAACTATTATACCATGGACTTATGCTGCTGGATATTTTGATCAAAGTATTACTGGTATATCATGTCAGTTATACCAACAAAGTTCATATCAGTGTAAGTTTTATTTACCTCTGAAATAAATCATAATCTACTACTCTAACATACCGGTTTTGATTGATTAATAAATCTATTTAACATTGAAAACAAATGTAACATAATTACTTATCGAATAATCTAACCGATTTCATACTTCATAGTTCAGCAATCAAAGTTTTAAAACCTTTATCAAACCCACTATAAGTGATGCCGATAAAATTACGTATAGAATACAGTGCATAGACACTATGGCTCCTTATCTAAGCAAATGCGATTGATATTAATTTCATGTTTTTATACAGATTATTGGATTGAAAAAGAAGCATGTTTTTAGTTTCATCGATTTCTACATGAACCATTTGCATTTAATAAGCCAGTTGAAAATTAGAGTTAATCGATTGTAGCAAAAAACAACTATAGAAAGACTTTTCGCATAATAAAAACACCCTAAAAGTTTATTTGATTACCAGACGATGATAAACAAAAATAAGGTAGCGACAGAAAACGATGCTAATCTTGTGTCTAGAAAGGCGTCACGTTAGCTAGATTTCGTTATTATCTAATTTATGGATCAATAAATAGTTGCCGTTATTGATTACAACATATTAACCACCAATAACCCTCTTTGAGCTTAGCATGAATGATTTGCTACTGCATGTAAAATAAACCTTGAACTTGTAAAATAAATAACATGAGTATTACTTAAGCTCTTCGTTGTTTTTGAGCATTTGGAGGTCGACTGTAATCCTAACAAGCATAAACAAGAAATCTTGTGGGTACAATACAAATCTAGCAATTCCATCAGATATTACTTTTCAAAAAATTCTTGACAGCTAGCATCATAAGCTAAGTAATCTGTCAAACCATACAGGTTTCGAACAAGTCTAGCTGATTAGTAAAAAATGGCAGGTGAATATTTAACAGAATGCTATATTCTTAGGTCAGCTGCTGATAAGCTTTAACCAACGAAGATTAGCATACGAGCTACTCTCATTAGATGAATCCTACTTTCAGGATAGAGTGATAAAAGTGACCCAAACTCCTATCAATCGACATTTTATCCTAATGTTAGTAGTTTATCGACCAATTAGTTTAACGTTAATTATCCTTTTCAATCTAGTTAAAAGACGCTAAGCGACTACATTTATACCATTTAGTGCGAATCTGTCTATTTTGTATTTTAATGTAAACCTCTATTTGTATATTTTCACAGTAAATCTAGCATGGATCAGATATTATAATAAAAATAAGTTCCACATATTGTACCTCGAATTTAATACCAGATGGCAGATAGTGTTGCTTCTGAAACTATGTAAATTACAAGGATATTTTAACAGCCGTTTCCTTTGACAACCAATCAGTCTAGCCTATGCGAGTTAAGAATATAAAGCGTATAAACACTGTAAAAGGAAATGATAGAATCAACTCTGTCGAAATCATAACTAGCGCATTTTATAAATACTAGAACACAGTAAGAAGCAGACCTACAACTTATCCTTATCCCTTTTCTTAGTATTCAGTTTTGCGAGTACAACTCATCTCTTTGTTAAGTCTGATGATTCTGTTGCCGTAATAACATTTCAATGTTATCCCTTACATTATAGTTTGCTTTCAAGGCATTTACAAAACTAATACAATGGTGTCTGATTGGAACAGGATTTGCCCGGCCCTCCCCTAACGAAAATATCAATCGAAAAGTTGGATGAATATGCAACACTTGATCGTTATGCAGTTACCTCTAAAGTAATCATTTGCTTTATTAATGTGCACAACAACAGTAATGATATTTCATCGTAAATGATATTCATATCTTCATCCAAACAAAACACTAGTTACAATCTATAGAACCTTTCATTAAACTGATATTCTATACGTAAAGTAAATTTTGACGCTCAATCTTCTACCTTGTGATCCTCAGTCCATTTGTAGGCTCACGTTCTTTATTTAATTTTCTTGAAAAATTACCATTCGATTGAATTATATCAGTAAGTCAAGTTTATCACATATCAATTAAACGAATTAACTGAACTTAGAAAAACCAAATTAGATATAAATTACAAAAACTTTCCTATCCCTTTCCAACTGAAAATCCAATACCGAAAATACTTTTAAGGAGATTCTTAACCTTATCGTCTGTGATAAGTGATACTGATCATAATAACTCATTGTTTCTAAATGAAGATTCTTTCTTCGAATAGTTGCATAAATAATTGTGATAACTAATAAGGGAATACAGAGAGATGACACTGATTATAAGAAAACAGATCACTTTTTATACTCTAAGAATAATAACAGTGAGCTGATTATTAGTCTACCATTCAAAACAATTTTTAATAATCCTATATATTCTATTTCTTTTAAGTGAAAAAAGGTGCATATATTTGATAACTGTTGAAAATATAAGGCTACCATAGATTTTTGACTCAGTTAATTCATAGGTACTACAATTAAATAGCATGAAATCATTTTGACAAATTAGTGAATAAGGATTGCTGATTGATTGTTACGATTCAAAATTTATTTTCTCAAATTTATTGACTATTAACACATAAAAAGTATACGATTACTATAAACTATACAGAAAACCAATGTGTCTGTATACGTAGTTCACTACTCATCATCACTTAATACTTAATGATGTCAAAAACCACGAGATCTATTGAGTCAACTATTTCTATTCAAAATGTTGAAAAAATACATACAATAAAAGTCCTTTCACTTATTAGTTAATAAAATTGAATATATATATATAGACATTCATTCAGTTAAATAATTAATTAATTTAATATAGGTTATTTCTGTGATAGCAACAATACAATTTTTATATATACTCTTCTATAAATAACTATGGTTATTACTTAGCAATAAGAAGAATATGTTAAAAGAAATAAACTTGTAAATGTTCAACGACAGAAATATATAATTTAAAAATCAATTTAGTCCTGGTTAAATGAATAAAGTTTAAATCAAGAAAACTACAACCAAATTGTAAAATTTAAAAACAGAGAATGGGTTCGAGAAAAGAAAAACACTAGGACTTTAACGCTTTTAAACTCATCTATCTAGTTTATTTCATTTTGCCATTAGTTTATGAGGTTGTATTCTTTTCAACAACTATATATATTAGTAGTGCGTAATAACGTAGAAACTATAAACTGTATCGACAATTACGAACCGCGATAAAAACTCAGTTCAAACAACGAAGTCTTTTTTATCACATAAATTATTTATTTGTATTCAAGTGACAAAAAATGAAAAGAAATCATCAAGCTGTTTGTTGTTTGATTTGTTTTCTGAAGCAACCAATTATCCGAAGGTTTTACACCTATTATTGGTTTAAATAAAACTTTAGAAAAACAACTTACAAATCAGATGTATGTAAAATAGCAAAACAGTGTTAACGGGTTAAAATGACTGAGATAGGATACGGTTAGGTGCAATTCAAGTTTTATTTCTTTCAATGTTCGATTGGATACCACAAATAAACAAATAATACTTATCTGTTGTGTTCCATGTAAAAAAAAATAAGAAGAATGGATATCTGTACATATATGTGCACTGACATTCAATAACAGTATAACTATTCATACCTCAGTGTAATTATATGAGGAAAATGGCATGAGAAAATAAACAAAACAACAACCGTGAATCATAACTACAAAAGGAACCTAATAAAAATATTTACGATCTACTAACAAAAAAATATGATGATTATTTGTTAACTAAAGCTGATCAATCAGTCATTCAGTCAGTAACGACGTAGAACTACGTACGTACGTACATCAGTTCGAGTTGCCATAACACATTAGCACAGAGATGCAGTTGTCGACTCAAATTCCGTACTGGTAGAGGTAAAAAGAGTATAAGCAGTAATAGAGAACATTAAGGCTTGAAGATGTTATTCAAGGAGTATAATCCAGTGAAATAAATTTGGAAAGAAAATAAGGGACAAGAAGAATTCAGAAGATTAGAATTTGGGAGAACATAAAGAATGGATGCACCTGCGCCATTGCAAACGATTTTGAGCCATGTCATTCAGGGTCTCTAATCATCGGGCGCTATCATCTCGCGATCCCCAACCAGGTAGTTTACACCTACCAACGTGGCTCAATTCACTTGTCAGTGACTTCATGGACTTGTGCCATGTTTTGGTCTGGCCGCCCCCTAGCTTTCTTCCAACCTACTCCTATACCAGTGAACATCGCCCGTCGAGTCAGTCGGTACTTGGGCATACGTAACACGTGTCCCAGCCATCTCAACTGATCAAGTTTCACTACGTCATCAATTGATTTGCCATCCTTACCTAGTACCCGTTTCCTAACAACTGCGTTACTTGCTCGATGGTCCCAGGATATAAGTGCAATGTTTCGAATACACCTATGATCAAATACTAGTAACCTACGAATATCCTCTACTCCTACCGGCCATGTTTCACTGCCATAAACTAGGACGGAACGAACTGCTGCGCAGTAAACACGTCCTTTGGTTGATAGACGGACATCTCGCCTACGACATAAATGACGCAAGTTGGTAAAAGCTAGTCGACCCTACTGTATCCGTGCTGCGATTTCGTCGCACACCAGACCACAAGAGCTGATGAGAACCCCAAGATAAGTGAAGCGGTCGACACGCTCAACTACTTCACTTCCTATCATTAGTTCGGGTGTCGATGCAACTCAATCCTGAAGCAACATTTTGCATTTCGAGGGGGAGGATCACATCCCGAACATGCTTGCATTGTTGCTTAGAGTGGTCAGAAGACTCTGCGTTTTGTCAGCGTCTTCATCAAATAGAACTATGTCATCGGAATATTCTAAGTCAAAAAGTGAATCACAAGGTAGGAGTTCAACCGCTAGAAATTTAGATGAGGAAAGTGTCATCTCTAAAAGCACGTCCACGATAAAGTTAAACAAGAATGGAGAGAGTGGACAGCCCTGACGAACACCACTTGTGGTAATCAACTCTGATGACAGTTCACCATAAGCTCTCACTCGACCTGTTGTGTTCGAGTAGAGAGCCCTTACAAGGTTAATGTACTTCTTCGGCACTCCTTTCAGTGACAAACACTGCCATAGAACCTCACGATCAACAGAGCGGAACAGAGTCAAATGCCACCTTAAGGTCGAGAAATACTACGATTGTGGGGCGTCTGGATGTGTGTCCATGTCCTAGGATCTGACGTAGTGTGAATATGTGGTCTATACAACCACATCCAGGCCGAAAACCAGTCTGGTTTTCTCTAGTCTACTCTTCACGAGCTTTAGTTAGACGTCGAAGTATTGTTGAAGCTAATATTTTAGACACTATATTAGTCAAACTGATTCCTCTGTGATTGTCACAAGAGGACTTTTGTCCTTTCTTATAGACTGGCACAATCAGTGATTGAGACCAGTCAGATGGGATTACGTCCAGTTCCCAAATTTTACCTAAGATTTCAGCAATCTCACTGCTAATACTGGACCACCATCCTTAAAAATCTCAGGAGTGAAACTGTCAGGGCCCGCTGCTCTCCCTCGCTTCAGATTTCCTATAGATTTCTCAACCTCGTAAAGAGTTGGAGGACTTACATCAACTTGCCATTCAGGTCTACTGGAGATCGTGGGAAACCGAACTGTGGCTGAAGGCCAGTTGAACTGATCCCTAAAATGTCCTGCCCATCGACCCAATCTCACGGATTAAGAGTGAATAGTGTGTCCATTTTTTTCCGAGAGAGTTTCACTAACAGTTGGGTTCCTAATACCAGTTTTCTTAACAAGTCGGAAGAGTTGTCTGCTATTACCTATTGCCTCTGCCTTTTCCATCTCTCTTGCTTTCGCTACCCACCGCTGTTCACGACCATTGCGTCGACTTCTTGTCAGCTTGCGCTTAAGCTGACTCCGCTCTTTATTATGTTCAGAGCCAGGTGGAATGAGTTTTTCGAGCATCTATCAGCGCGATAGATGCTGCTGAGATCCAGTGTTTCTCCCTAACCTTTTGGTTTACCATACTAGCAGATACCACTGCTGTTTTCATAGCTTTTCGGATATCATTCCATGCTGCATCGGGGTGGGCATTACTTACATGGCTGCCTAACAGTTTTCCTAGTTGTTCCTGAAATATACTCTTAGCTTGACTATCATTAGGTAGGACCCTAAGAGGTTTCCTTGCAGCGTCTTTCCAACGTCCAGTAAGACGCAATAAAATACAAGCCCGCACTAGAGCATGACCTGAATTTAAGCATGTGCTCCAGAATGAGCGACAGTCTTCTATCGAGCCCCTCCATCGGTGGCTGATAGCGATGTGATCTATTCGGGTCCAACGTTGGGACGAATTAGGGGGTCGCCATGTCAAAAGATGCTTTTCCTTATGCTTAAAGTTAGTGTTTGCAAGAAACAGGAGGTTATCTGAGCATAGTTGCAACAGACGGTCGCCATTATCTGTTCTTTGAGTCACGACACCATAATATCCACGCAGGTGTCTTTCCCTTTTGCTTAGTTAACCTACTTGAGCATTAAAATCATCATCCACTATTACTTAATAAGAGCGCCTAGCTTTTCGGAGGTCGGAAATCTTTCTGTAAAACTCATCTCCTACATCATCTGAGCTGCAGTCAGTGGGAGAATAGGCAGAGACGACGAATAGGCAACGACGAGTGTCCCTATCTTTCCGAGTCCTTACTGTCCCGTTTAGTCGGACAGC